AACCAATTCCTCACCCACTGGACAGTCCACCCATCAAATCCATACCTCTCCAGTTTAGAGAGAAGGATGTTGTGGGGGACCGTGTCAAAGGCCTTACAGAAGTCCAGGTAGATGACATCTGTAGCCCTTTCCATGTCCACTGATGTAGTCACTCCATCATAGAGGGCCACTAGATTAGTCAGGCAGGACTAATGACTCAAATGACTGAAATAGCTTGGCCTCTTTAAAAGAAACTGAGAAAATTCCTTCTCCTGTGTGGGCACAGTGCCAGGAGAAACAGAGTCGGCATCTGGGAAAAAGGGATCAGTCTGAAGTCTTTACATTACGTAAAGTGGGTGCACACCATACTGCAAAAAGGCGCAGGCGTTTTCCTCCTAAAGGTGAACTGAGTTTCAACAGTTCAGCTGACATCACCTGGGGTGGCCATAAAACCAGAGGACAGCCATTGCCATGCTCTATACTGCAAATTGCTTTAAAAAAATCCACGGGAGCATGTAATACATAGAAATCATTAGTCGGAGATGAGTGGGGACACATACCATCTTAAAACACTGTAAGGCCACCAGAAAAATATTATACATATACAACGCATGAACACTTCTGCTGAATATGCAAAATACATGCACCTAAGAAAGAGAAATGCCAGCTGTACTTGTTACTCCAGAAAGTGTTAGATCCTGAATTGTCATTCGAAGGCTATTCTGTTCACATGGTACTGAGTATTACACCAACCCTACTGCACGTTCTAAGGAACTAGCAATCCATCAGGGCTCTTGGCAGACTGAACATCTCTGGTGATCATTCACTCACAAGACCAGCAGAATGACTCCTGCAGCTACAGGAGCCATAACCAGAAAACAATGCTCCAGTGCCAGTTTTGCAAGTGGCTTCAGTTCAGTCTCCTTTTTCTTCCTTATCCCTTGTCCCACTACCAGCAGGGAGCTGACAGCTACCACTATCTTTTAAGAGTAACCACTGGTGAGTTTAAAAAAGCCCAATACGCTCTGCTTTATTTATGACAGCTCTGTTGCAAGCATGGGGCCCTTTGCCTCCAGCAGTCTCTCTAATCAATTAACACTCCCTACATTATTATGAATACGGCTCCACAAATTCACAATGTACACCGAGATGAAATCAGGAGGTTTCGGGTTGTGCTACCACAGACAAGAAATTATGTTTCAACTGAAAACTACCACCCTGTTTGCGGTGAGAGGGCACACAGGGCAGGGAGGAAATAGCCAGTGAATGACACCGCAGTTTCACAAAGGCTTTAGGCCAGTACACACCTGCGCTGCTGCCAGAAGAAATGGTTTTCCCCCACTTCCCCCCGCACTTCCCTCCTTATCTTGGCACAATTTGCGAGCACACGGCAGAACAGATCGAGGAACTACCTCAAGCTGCGTTTTACTGGAAGAAGGCAACAGTTTTTTAAACCGGGAACAGTTCTCTAATGCCACTTACCATGCAGCGATACAACCCATTCCCGCCAGTTCAAGGGAGGGGGAAACTCTCATGCTGCACGTGCAGGTTTATGCCAGCTTCAGACGAGTAGGAGGTAACAGCCAGAAAAATGGCAGGCAGAGCTTTTCTTTTCATACTACAGATTCAAACTAAGCCAAGCACAACAAAGAAAAGCTGCTTCTAATGGCCTTTTGATTACCCCAGTGGTACTAAAGTTGATTCATTTCAAACCCCACTGGACAGGTATTTACCCGACACTTCGCTTCCCTGCTGGCAGGTTCAGCAGGGCCCTGGCAGAGAAATGACCCACGCATGACAAATGAACCACGCTTTAAACACGAGCATTCACAATACGATAATGGAGGAGAAACACCCAGTGGTCCACTTGTCCTCCTGCACAGAGATCACAAGACCAGCCATGCAGAGAACTTCACAAATGCTCAAATTCATCTACAGAACTACGCCAGAAACGTCAAGCTGCGTATTCTAAGCTTTATGAGCTATATGGCGTGAAGAGGCAGGAAAATGCACCGTGGGTTCTGCCTCTGCGGGGCAGGAGTGACACCATGTGGCAATTTGCTTTAACAGGAGCACTGAGCTCCTAACGAGTGTCAAACTAATTCAGCCAACAGCTATTAATCCCGTTTAAATTAAGCAGTGTAGGATACTACCTGCTTTGGACTGCTAATGTTTTATTAGGGGAAAAAAGGTCCAGGATAGTGCACAATATCCATTTGAAACTTCAAAATGCATTTGCAAGTATTTTTTTTATAATGTGACAGTTGACAATTAAGCGGCTGGCACAGGCAAAATCCTGATGCCAGACAGCCTACAACCCGAGTCGCTAAAACTCCACTCAGCCCAATGTGGTAAAACACGAGGGAAGGAGATGAAACGGGAGCCAAACACCCCAAGGAATGCTAATGTTTCATTCCCAGCTTCTCCGAAAAGTTTTTCATTTGCTACATGACAAGCAAGAAGTTCACAGCAGAACAGAAGCAGCGGGAAAGCTGCTCACCAGCAGGAAGACTGACTGTTTTCTAAAAACAACTGTGCACCTCATCCCTCTTATTACAGGCACACTTTATATAAAAGTATCTGAAACTGCATGCACACATGGCCTTTTCATGCCACCAAGCAGTGTCTCAATTTTCAGGCTCATTCTGGATTCTATTTCTAGACTTTTATGGCATTCTTCTTTGAAAAGGGAGTAACTGGTCCCGCTCCAGAAACCAGGCCCAAAGTCACACTTTTCTTCTATGCAAAAAGAAGTAGGTGGCATCCAACAGTGCAGGCGGGCAGGCCTCGGAGCCAGAATCGGTGTTTATCCATCCCTAACTATATCCAAACGACATATGCCAAAGTAAGAAAATGCAAACATTGCACTAAATATAATTTTGGGCTCACCCATCTACCACGTTCAGCTGATCTACACACAGGCTCTTAGAGCACAGCAGAACCCGGTATGTCAGGCTCACTTGGCTCTCCGTGAAGTACACACAGTAACTGGTTCATGATTACCTCTCGACCATAAGGTACCTCTATTACCAAAAAAACGTCACATGCAGGAACTAAATTCTCTGTCTTTCTAGCTATCTTTAAACTTTCTAGAGCTCTGGCCTTCCAGAGCTTTCGTATGATAATGAGTTCTTGCACTTCATGCCAATATTTCATTCCCTTGCCATGAGAATGATCCACTGGGCTGTATAATTATTACTTTTCTTTTTTGGTTTCATCACCAAACTGGAAGCAAATACATTTGGATCAGCTTCAAAATCTTTCCCCCATAATCCCCCTGGGTTTTATTTCAGGCCTTTTTAATAAAGCATTACAATGGCACCACAGGATTGAGTTTGAGTCTCACTTACACAGCCAACGCAGTGGTGCTACCACATGCTTTCTGTTTAGTGACCCATGATGCGAGAGACACAGACTTTACCTGGGATTTCCACCCATAATCTAACATCTTCCCCAGCAGGGAAGACTGGAGCCTATGTGGAAGTCCCAGATCACTGGCATGATTACCAAACCAAACAAATAATATTCATTCCACCTGTGAGTATTTCACTCATTTTAAATTCCTATTCAAAAAGGGACTGCCAAATTTGATTTAAGAGACATTATCTAAATACACACTTGAAAACAAGAGTAGACTCAATTAAAACTTTTACAGTGATAAAAGCTTTTCAAATTTATCCGCTGTGAGTAATTCTTGAATCAACAGATTCCAAATCCAGTATACGTGCTCGTAGGATTCACGTTGTACAATTCTGCAAATATCTGTATGTGTGCCAAGATGCTGCCTGCGAGAGTTTGTGGAATATATTTTAATGTCACTGAAACAAAAATCATTCTCTTCTGAAACATCTGCAAAAACCCATGATTTCGCATTGGAATACCTTATTCATGTTTATCCATTCCTGAACTAAATACTTTCCAGGAGACTGAACTCGGTGTGGAAAAGCTGGGACATGCCTTTTTTATTATTCTTATTATAATCTTAATTAACTTCTTTGGAGATACTCACATTAACAAAAGCAGTGGGATTTTGGAAGCAATAGCTTGTAGGCACACTATTTTGCAGCATCACAACAGGACACTGCCCTTGCGAAAGGCTCGCAGTACAATGAAGAATGTTCTCCAAAAAGCATGCTAAATGCATGCTAGTAAAGGAAAGAAGCAAAATGGATCTGATACTGGCCCAAGTCTGCCAGGTGAAACATGCAAATTGAGTTTGATTAATGTACCGGTTGTTAAACAATGAACCAATAACCAACTTCTACACTGATAGGAGAGTCACAGATTTTATCAAGACTCTTTCAAAGCTATCTGGTCCAGAATTTATCACAGCTGCCCCACTTCAGGAAAATTAAAACATTACATCCATATACACACACACTTAAGAGCCCTATGCACCCACATCTAGAGCAACATTCAGCAGCAGTCAGTGTAAGATTTAAGAGGCCTGTTGCATGGTGGAAAATAAACAAAAAAGACTTTCAGCAACTTACTTCTCTTGCATGGTAAATATCTCAAAGCAGCCATTTGCCAGCATTTGGTCCAGCATTGTCAGGAGGGGTACAGACACCCTGATGAAAGAAAATAATTTAACAATGTAAATACACTTCTTGGCATACATATATACACTATTTTTAATTAGAAGCAAAGAAAGAAACTTCCTATCTACCTACACATATTTAAATTCGAACTCTAATTTACACAGAGGAGGGTTGCTCAGTAACTTCTGTGTGTTGGCTAAATCATCCTTGTTGGCTGAGAGGGGGACATTCCGTTACAGCCAAAAGGAAAAAACCTAATTAACAACACGCCTGGTTTAAACTTGCAGGGTCCTGAAAACACAATTAACAGTGTATAAAATATTAATTTCTTTCCTAGTATATAAACAAGGTATTCCACAAGATGTATCAGAAGTTACAATACCTTCTCACTCCAGGTAATTACCAAATGAACCAACACACAATGTGTGAGCTGGAATAACTATGGTCATGTTTTCTATTTCAACAGCTGAGACAAGAAACAAAATAAAAATAAAGTAAAACTGAAAATTCTATTAATAGTTGTGGGTTTTTTCCCCCCTAGGGAATGTTTTCTATTTTGCACATGTTTGATAAATGAGGCTTAGAGAAATTAATCTCATTATGCAGAATGAGTCACCTTTAAAGAAAAATCTTCACAAGAAAATTATACTTCAAGTATTTGTGAAAAAGCACTACCTCAACGAAATGCAGACTAGACTACACTGAAAAGTGTGCAGCAATATGCAATCCCCAATATTGCATTATATGAAAACTGGTGCTTATCACATTATGTGCAATATTAAACTATAGTAAATGCAAAATATTCTGCCATCACTCCTCTGTTAGACATTTTGCCAAAGGTACTGCCAAACAGCTGTATTAAAGCAAATTTACATGGCTCAGGCAAATTTTATCTAGGCATATTAAAAAAGGTGTGCCATATATCTGACTTCAAATAGTCCTGCTGTTAAAGATAAAAAAGCGAAACAAAAGCATTACCGGTCATTCCGCAGGTTGTCCTCAAAGACCTTTAGCAACGTCTCACAAAAACTCTCCATAGTGTTGGAATCATTCTGGATTTTCTTCATGTAGTCAAAAAGGCTCTGGGCAGAGTATCTGAGCTACAACAGAATGAACCTCAAATGAAGGCACAGGGGATAAACGCTGCTGCAACACACCAAAACACTGACTACACAGAATTACACTTATCCTTCACTACCTGAAGCGTACACCTGCACTGTGAAGATCTTCCTCCAACAACAGCTGAGTGTATAAATTCAGTATCAACATTTGACAGGAATATGGCTATTTTACTTTCATTAACCCTTTTTCAAGGAAGGCGTTTTTAATCCTTCTTAAGTTTTCCCATTGTAGGAAAAAAGACCACATTAAAGGTTCATTATTTTCTTTCTCTCAGAATAAAACATCCCCAAACCACTACAATTATCCTGCTTTACTTCAAATAATAATATTGTTATGGCTCTGAAAGTTAAAGAGTACACAGAAGTTCAAGAGGTAATATTTATTAAACAAGCTGATGTAACTGAAAAATGCAGGCAAGCTCTTGGGCACATGGTGCAGGCCACACAAAACAGCAGTAAACTTGGGTTAAAAATTAAAAACAACTCAGAAATAATGACTTTTGGTTTAACTTTGTTATGTTAATCAGCTAGCTTAGAAAGATGGCAGAAGGAGGTTTTAGTGCTTATGTTCAAGGCTCCGCTGGAAGCAGTCCATTTGGGTCACGCCAGCTGTTCAGTATCGCAGGCTACAGCCTTCACTCGACAGCTTCCTGCTGCTGTGGTCCCAGCTCTCGAGGAGCCACAGCACTCGCGAGCACAAGCCAGGCCGGCTTCTCCTCTCCCGGACCGGCAGTGAGGGAGGGGTGAAGGCAGAGACTGTGGGATCTCCCTTTCCTGTGGGATCCATGCCCCCAGGCAGCTAACGGTACACCCTTGAGCAGCAGGACAAGGGCTGCAACACCCTATATGAGCATCGCTACTAATGCTAAGATTTTCCATTTCTGGGAGAGGTAGGAATTTTAGTTTCCAGGCTCATCTTTTAAAATATTAATTGACTTCCCTTGAGGATGAGAAGAAAAATTTGGGGTTTTTTGTTACAGAAACTACCTCAAAGGAAAATACCTCATGAAGGATGAACATAATCAACTTTCCGAATTTTCCTGACTCTGATGTGAAGGATTATCAGTCCTGCTGGGGCTTGGTCAAGTTGCTTAGGGAAGGGGGGTGGTGATTAGGGGGTGTCCCCCTATAAGAAACTGGGTTACAATGAAGGGGGCTGTGGGAAGGGTAGGTGGGGCAGATCAGTTTTGAAGTATGAACTTCTTTCCGTTTTGGTTGCAAGTGTTAAATAAATTTCTGTTGAGTCAAGAGGAGGCTGTAAGCAATAATTAAGCCTATTCAAGTCAGTGGAGATTTTGTTTCTGAAGCTTATACATAGCATTTTGCTAGCTCATTCCAAGGTGCAATCAGTTCCCTCAGAAGATTGACCCTTTCATCAAGAAAAGAAAAAAAAAAATATTAGGTCAGTATGAGAAGTGTCACAAGTGTCTTCCTGAAAGCAAAAGAGAGGAATCTCTATCTAAACATTTTATCTAATTTAAATTTTATATCAGTAATGTTTATGGGTGCATCAGCACAGAAGAACAAGAAACATTTTCACCTTGAATCAAAACTCGGAACTAATTTTCAAAAGCTTTAGCCTACTCGTAAACAACACGGCACAGCAATCCATACTACCTGGCAAGTAGCACAGTCTGCTATTTTGTTCTATAGTGAAACATACTGGGCAACGCAGAAGCAGAAATATTTCTTTAAAAGGGTCAAGCAATTTAAAGAAATTATTCAGTTATTCTGCATTTCAAAATGACAGTCAAATCTCAGTGAAAATTATTTAAACATTTGTAAAAGCCAGCTATACTAAACTGAAATACTGAATTGAACTGAATGTGGTTCTTTCGTATACCAAAAGTTATATTAGTTTGTGTGTTTCCCTGTATGCTGAGCATAAACTGTATCCTTACACTGAAAGATCTTTAGAGGATATACAATTGTAAGGAAGAGAGATTTCCTGAAAACTTAAAACCTGCTTAATTATTGTATACTACCCTTTAAAACAATGTGCATTTAAGACCATTACAAATAAAGAAATACTTGTCTTAATACCTTACACTAGCAGATGTCAATTATAAGCAGAAGAAAGGTTACATTCGAGTCAAGTCTCAGGAAAAGATCTTAAAACATGTACAGTTAACCATGTAATTTTCTCTCCTATTTCTTTTGTCTTTTAAACTACCTTGCAGATCTCGCACCAGTTTTTGATGAAAGCTTAATTACTCAATGCTTTCCCTGCAGATTCAAATGATTGAAAAGGCAAGAATGGGCACGAAAGAAAAGGGCAAGCATAGCTACACGTAGGATGTTGCAAAGCTCTGCAAACCCAAGACAGAGTAGCAGGATAATCAGAAAAACTGTATAATGAAGACAGCATTTCTCCACTAGCAAGTAATTAAACAGTACAAAAGTACAGGTGTGGATAAACCATCACATAACTGCTTGGGAGGTTTAAAAATGGGACATTTTCCAAATAGTCAGCATAGACCATACGAACTTTACTGGAAGAAACTCCAACATAACAAGGTAACATTACATGAACAGGTTAAGTCCGTATTTCCTCCTCAGGTGAACACTCCTTTTTTCCCAGATAACCTATGAGGACAATACCTGAGCTATAACCTTAACTGCTCATGAGTATTTGCAGAGAAATGCATTTCCAAATGTCTTCCTCATCTATGCAGAACCCTGAATTCACACTATATCAAATGTGTGACATTTACCTTTCCCTGGGGTTGCACGAGGACTGGGAAAGGAAATTAGGAGGTTAATGGGTTGGAACTGGGACAACTTTGGATAAGAATCTAAGAGGAGGCCTGAGAATGACCTTGTTCTTATTAAACACAGTAAAAAACACGGTTTGCCAAGGCTTGACCCTCCCATCATTTAAGCCAATAGTAGATACTTCAGTGATAGGCAATACATGATAAGGCGAACAGCGTTCAAAGGGACCATTCATCTGATGATAAAATTAAAGTCCTAAGGATTTTACCTCCTGAACCAGGGGAAAGTATGAGGAAGTGTAGCTACAGCAAGGGGAGAAGGCAATTAACAGCTCTGGACAGATGCATGGCATATAAATAAGGTGTCTACACAAACCTTCATGAAATTGTTTCCTAGTCAGTTTGTTACAAAACTGAAGTACAATACTTCTGAAGAGTCTTGAGGCAACAAGTGGGACTGATACGGCCAAAAGAAAATTAGCTTAGGCATCCAGTTTTCTAACAGAGCATTCAAAATCTCAGCCCCCCATCAGCTATAAAGATGCCAAATCCTCCTAAGGGCTCTGATTCTTTCTTTGCAGTACTATCTTGGACAGACCAGATAAAAAAGCCAGCAGGGCATGATGAGAAAGGAAGAGCCTGTACTGAAGACGTTCAGTAGATGGACATCCCCTAATGGTTGTCAGTCTCCCATCTAACCACAGTCTCCTCAGAGCCCCAGGTATCGTAACAGAATTCAGCTGCACCTAATGCACCACAAATGGAAGTCAAGTGAAAAACTACTGGAAAGGCCTGCACAAAATCAGCATTTTTATGTACAGCTAATTGCTAAAGGCTCCAGTTTTCACTGAAGCATTTCAAGAGAGAAAGACCTACTCACAGAGTCATAACATTCCTGTAACATGTGCAGAAGAAACCATGTTATGCTCAATAAATAACACTAGTTTTGGATCATTTCTAATCCTGACAAATTTACAGCACTGAAGTGCAGTAGCCTATTTTCCCAGTAACTTCAGAAAAAACTGCCTATCATTTAAATTTGAGCACAGGTGAAACCATGTCTCCCTTGTTTTACTTGCAACACTCCTTTTAATAAATCAAATCTTTGAAGACCAGTGACTCTAAGACTCAACTCAGTGATATTTTACGAGAAGTAGGAATATAGTAATTCACACTATTTTTTTCCTTTAAAAAAAAAAAAAGACAGAAATTATTCTCAACTGTGTTTTGCTCTAGAATTGTCAACCAAGAAAACTGGATTTGGAGCCTGTTCCTTCAACTCAGATATGCATTAATTTGCATACAAATCGTCACAGTAACCAGATGTTTTAGAACATCATCTACGAACGTCCCAACATTTTCATTTGTAAGAGCTAACGCAGCAGTCGAAAGCCCAGTATTTTCTCCAAACTGTACATACAGTCAAACATAACTGGCAAACAATGAGTCCGTTTTGAGGAAAGTAAAACATAAATTGTATAATATATTTGGCACATACGTAATATTAACATCCATATGCCATAGACGGGCTTTAATTTTAGTCAGGTGCTTTAACATACATATGCATTCATCAGGTAGTTTTGGAACCAGCTACTCCAATTGTTACAGGTCTGTGGCATCTCATGCTGGAATCCTGGTATTGGCCTGGGAGAAAACTGAATTTTCAAAATAGGTTGCTGCTTTCTTTTTTTTTAAGGTTTTATGTAAAATTTCTATAACACATTAAAATGTAATTCTCACTCTTGATGGGGGGAACGGAATGACAGGACATTCTGTGCTTTAACAAAATTTTAAATGCAGTGTAGTTCAACAATAATTAAATTATATCAAAATTGTATCCCGACCCCTGAAACTACAGGGTTTGTGAACTGGAGAAAGAACAGCATTGTATAGTTCTGATCTCCATATACTGAGAGGATTTTTTATGCAGCCATAAGAAATATGCATCATTGTGGGCCCGATACATAATTAGAAGATTCTTTTACATGGAGAAAGTGCTCTTTGAACCAAGGCAATGCTGCAGAATGCCAAATCCCAAAGGGAATGACATCTTCCGTTTTTCCAGATTACTTCAAAGGCTTGAGTTACAATTCTTTCAGCAACCACGCTGCCACCAAAATGTTTCTGAGATACCCCACACAGCTCATTTCAGAAAATCTCTTTAAAAAGCAAAACAAAGAACTACTCTTGCTAAATATACTGCAGAGCAATTTTAACTACAGAAAAATAGCCACTGACCACTGAGTTACAATGGAGCCTTTCTCCTACTAATTCCCCGAGATGACTTAAAGTCAAACTGACATTTGAACTCAGATTATCCTGCAGTATACAAGAATCTTCTAACTTTCTATGTCCACATGTGTATGTGCGTATGTCCTGGTTTCAGCATACCACGACAGCGTATATATTTTTTAAGTGAGAGAGGGACGAAAGGAGAGATCACAAGAACACACACAGGTTACTGCAAGAACACATATTTGAATAATCCTTTTCCTTTATCCAAGATTTTAAAAATCTGCTTCTTTCATATGGATTTAATAGGAATAGTTCTTAAAATTTTCTATTAATGTTTTAAATCAGTCCCTGGATATTCAGCAAAGAACACTACAGGCTTTGATAGAATAGTTTGAAACACAAGTCATTATAAGACACATCAATTCTAATTTATGTATCACATTTTAAATATTAAATGTAATTCACCACACACTGTATAATCCCAAGTGTAAGCACCCTATACTTCGAGCCTTCCTTGCACTTCTATGTGGCTTGAAAGAGAATTAGGTCATCCTCTTTCTAAAGCCAAAGCCCTTGAGAATATTTTAACCGGAACAAGCCTTTAGTGTTAAAGAAAAATGCAGGGTCACAGAAAGTTAAAATTTCGAAATCATATTTTGAAAACAGTACAGAAGGTTTCCCTTAAATATACTGGCAGATGGTAACAAGGGAAGGGAGCTAGAAGTAACTGAACTGTTTACAGTTTTCAAAACCAAGTACAACCAGAACTTCAAAAAAAAAAAGAAAAAAGATATTAAAATGTTGAATAAGAATTTTCCTCTGACCTTGGTTAGCAGTCAGAATGTCTGTTGCTCCACAACTTTTCTCCCTCCCTTTTTGTACTTATATGAATAACTTTGGTTTTGGTGGAGCCTCCTATAATTAACTGTGTTTGACTAAAAGCTGAATTTCATGTGCATGTCTGCTATTAAAAAAATCTGTTAAGAGTTACGTTGTTGTCTATCCGATAATTATTCTCACAAACCAATAAGCATATGTTTTCAAAGTTTTAAAATAGCCGTTGCTATACAATTAGCTGCCATTTTAGAAACATTAAAATTCTCAAATTTGGTTTAAATACATGAGACTGCACAGACACCAAATTCTCAGCTACATGAAACCCAAAGGCATATAAACATCTCTTGATCACAAGTGCAGAACCCACAGCACCAGGCAAAAACCATCATTTGGGCATATTCTGAACAGCTCATGGTAAGACTCAGAAGTGGAAGCCATGGGAGACAAGCTCGAAATGATTACCTCCTTCCGCGAACCCAGCAGGAGCTGCTCTCTCTCCACAAAAACTGTGCTTCCTGACACTTACCACTTTTCAACCAGCTTTCTTAATTAGAGATGGCAATCTTAATTAGAAACACTCTTAAACACTGTTGGGGTGCTGACTCATGACCTCCTCCTTCTGTTACAGGACCACTGCAATTTAGAGATTTAACTGACAGTCCAGAATATTCTGTTACTGGTCTGATATTTCTCTGTAGTATCATATTGAACTGTGTCCCTACCCCAATAGCTGTTTTCATATGTTACATCTTTGGCTACATCAAATAACAAAAAAGTTAGAAGCCAAGTATCTTGAAACCAAGAATTCTGAAACTAGCAAGACAAGCTGTAATACAAGGACAGAAGGATACACTAAAATTATAATAAAGTCTGGAAGATTTTGGCAGCGTAACAGAATACCAAAACCAGTGATAAAGACACTGTTCATGCACAGGAGAATGAAAGAGAGATTGCAAAGTTCAGAGGATTCAGACAGACATTTGAATGATATTTCTTTGTAATGTAACTTCTGGCATCTCTCTGGTACTTTTGTAGAAAGTGTGTCAAAAAAAAAAATTCTGAACATATTGTTAACACATATTGATAACTAATAGTTAACACCTTGCATCAGGTTACAAATGAAAACAGGCATTCACCTCATTTAAAAAGAGCAATCACCTTGCATTTAGCCACAACATTTAGCTGAATGGCTCTTCCTATGTTAACAGCTTGGTAGGGTGAGCAAATAAATGTTAAGAACTGACTGAGCCAACAGGCTGGAACTCTCAGGTTCTATCAGGCCAGGAAATGAGGAACGAAGTGTCCTTACTCCTTGTTTCCTGCATGCTCAGTAAGCCAAGAAAATAATACTTTTAAAGATGAAAAATATAAAGCCCATCAGGTTTAAAAGTATGACTTGATTTCTTTTAAAAATCTTGTATCTGAAATTCTCACAGAAATAAGTATCTGCAATATCCATTGTAACAGACTAAACATTGTAGTCAACAATTTTATCAGGTAAATACATTCCCCTACCAAACAGGAAAGCCATTCTGCTTTCTTACCGTTGTCTCTGTTAATCCGCCAACAGACACCGAGAGACCCAAAAGCACATAGTATTGGTATGTTGGCAAACCCAAAAGCTGGGTGATTCGAGGGAAAGCTTCTGATGCGGCATTCCAGTTGAGAGTCTCTTTCTCTGACCTGGGGAAAGGGGAAGGAAAAAAAAAAATCTTGTATGTGTGCACTTGTCTTTCTTCTCCATACTTTCCTATGGTAGCTCCTCATCCTCAAGCAGCATGTCAGTGAAGGAAGTCTCTGAATTACCTAACAATCAAATTAATCATTGGTCTTTAAGCATACAGGGAAAATACAAATCAAAACTTCAGCCACTGCCAGTAAAGTGAAGCAATCTTCAAGTCCTTGTTCTGATTCAGATAAGGGATTTGAACCACACACTTTTCTCTACACCAAGGAAACAAGTTCTCTTTCTTGCGTTCCTTTCTGAGTTCCCTCCCACCAACAGCTAGTCAACAACTGATACAAAGACAGACTTATCCCAGGAAAGGCTGACACACATACACCCCACCACAGATCGATCAGCAGCCTAGCAGTCAGAGCACTTTTTGACTTACAGGAGGTTGAGATTCTGCTGAACAAACAGAATGGGGACACAAAGTTGGATGTTCCTCATCCTAATCAGGTATTATAATCACCATTCAGGAATGAGTTGCTCTCACTCTCGCTTTAACTAGAAATTCCATCTTGGAAAACTACTGCAACTAGAGCTTGGTTAAAATAATACAATTCATTAAAAATAATCATTATGATCAATCAATGTTTTCCAGTCGGGGAAAAAAGAATTCAGGAAGGGGGACTGCCAATAAATTCCAGCTCTCACATTATGAAGAGAAAATAAGATTATAAACCAGACATTCCATAAACAGCAGGATTAGCAAAACACAGCTCCCAGCAGTTCTGTTTTACCAACGGTCTCCCATCGACTACTGACATGATCTTTACCATCCACCACGAAATCGGCTGATGGGTTCAGAAATTATCGGGGTTGATCCAGAGAAAGACTTATGCAGCATGATCATATAAGACCTATCTCCTTAGGAAACTATGGTTTTAACAGGAACTTATAGTATAAGTTCTTCTTTTGAATATTTTATATGTTTATGCATATTCATTGGACGCTTCAATGAAATTCTGACAAACAGCACCAAATATTCCTCCATACACATATTAGGCATTTGGGCACAAAAATTACATCAGGTTGCTTGTGTTAGGTGTAACTGTGTACATATATCTTTTACTTTCACCAGTTTAGGATATGTTTTTCAATATATTACCTTGGAAATATCTTTTCCAGCTCTTCTCGATAAGGTATGTGCGGAACCGGAGGATGGTCAAAATGTAAAAGAGTAAGGAACACAGATCCTGCATGAGCTCGAAATTTATCTATTTTTTCAGCTGACTGTTGAGCCAGCCAGCACATAATCTGTTTGCAACTACAAAGAAGAAAACAATTAATCACATAATTTAATCAGTAGAATGCGTATTTAAATTTAAATTGTTTCAATGATATCAAAAATATCCTGCTATGAAGGTATTCTGGTTTAACTCTTCGTAATGAATGTACAAGTGATTTAAGACATCAACATGGTGACAGACTCTGTAAAGCTTTATCTTCCATAGATCAATCAAAAAACATCATGACATTAATATTACACAGTATTTGATATTCACATACTACCCTTCATCCAAAAAGATACGAAGGTGCTTTATGGTTTGGATGAACTGCTACATTTCAGACGGAAATAGAGCAGGAACCTTGAGAAAAGCACCTTTTCAAGTAGAATATTGCACACATAGCAGAGGACAAGGTCTATCCCAAATCTCATATATCCCAAATTGATTACTTCTTCAACTCTGGCTAGTTTTTAACGATATCCTATTCTGCCTACGTTCATAATTAAACTCTGAGCTACAGTATTGTGTTCCGCGAGGCCCTTTATACCTTCAGAAGGGACAACTAGTGATAGTAAAACCAGCTAGAATTCCTTCAGTTACAGCAAGACCCAGAATATTTAGAAAATGTGATCCAGCTGGCAGGAATGCTTTTCTAAGTTTCATGTGAATAATCTATGTCTGCAACAGACCAATAGGAGGAAGCCCCCAGACAACGGGCACTGGTTGAGTAGCATATTCCTACAGAATCCAGTATTTTCCTTCAAAGTGTCCTTCAAAGTTTGGAGTTTTTTAAATTAAAATGTGTATATTCAGCTAACCATTGGGCATGCTCTGTCCATAAAACACCACCATTATTAGGAGAGTTTTGCTGCAGCTCAAGCTATGCTGAAAAACTACTTAAGTGGGGTTTTTTTGTTGGTTTTGTTTTTTGTTTTTTTTTTACTATTAGGAGTATTGTATCATGAAATTAAAAATCAGAAGCTCAGTGTAAATTATATTTTTTTATATTTCCTTACGAATAATTCTGCAAAGAAGACAGAAATGAATGCAAACTCATCTCCACATTTTATCACATTCCAAATTAATGATGCGATGCTCTGGATAAGTGGGCAAGTTTGCGTTCTATTTAAGTGAACAATACTGGCAGGCTCCACAGAGGCGGCAAGTACAGACCAAATCTCACAGATACACTGTATTTCAAAGGTGGGACTGCCACCCAGTTTCTTTTAGTAACGTTAAGTTTCTCTGAAAAACAGATACAATATTCTCAGCTTCTGTATGGGTGTAATCTTGATGCACTTCTATAAAAAGTTCTGTCACACTCAATACAGGAGAAAATATACAGTATGTAAGCAATGCTTTCTTGTATGGACTGGAATGTAGTTATAAGAGATAAGACACAAAAATAGTACAAGTAGCATACATGTTGGCATTAATTAACTCCGCTTCATTCTGAACCAGCAGAAGCGTCACTTCCATTAAACTTGTCATAGCAGCTTCACGTACCCTGTTGAAACAGACACACATTAGAGTAGTTACATCACTATTTATTTAAATAAATACATACATCAGCAGTTAAGTTAAACAGACACTGGCAAAAAATTCAAAACAATGAAAGTGTTGACCCCTGAGAGCAGCTATCATATTTTTGGGAGGAAGAAGACTGTGTACAGCTGTAGCCCCAAGCCCCATCCTGTGAAATGAAGCCTACATTTGCACTGAGGGTACAACAGTCATCCTAGTTTCCAGGCAAGCCCCCTGCCTCACCATCTTATTTTTTATTCCAGCCAGATGTCGTCAGGTTTATTCTTTACTGTAAGAAGGTTAAAATTGTTAACTATTAGTAGTATTTAGTGTGCAAGTAGATGTATTTAAACCTAAGTACTTTGTCTGCTTCAAACCATCTTCTAAAAAGGCCAACCCACATTTTGACAAGATATTTAAGCACTGTTAAAAGTGTCATACTCTTGTAAATTTTCAAGCTTAATACTTCTAATATTAACAAAAGTGATTCAGAATGGCTTAAGTGGCTAAATAATAGTTTTATGAAAAAAGATTAGCTAAAGTAACACTAGTTTGTGCTTGAAGTGCGTATTATCTATATGATGATTTTCTGCCTTCAAAATGTCTAAATATAGTATCAATATAAAAGAAAGATGAAGAGTGTAATTTCAATCAAAAAACAAAATCAATACACTTGTTTTAAACCACATGCCTTGTCAATATATGAGTTGTTAAACGTGTTTCTTTCTTAAGATATAGGCAGCAGCATGGCAGATCCTCAATTGGTTACATGATCCTGCAGAAGACCAGGACCAACACATTCATCACACTGGTCACTCATGGTAACGTCATCCTTTCTCAGTAATAAAAAAATATATATAGATCTCTCTCGAAATATTTAAAAAGGTACTTGCCGACTGTGAAAAAACATACCCCTGTTTCTGATTTCCAAAACAAGATGAAAATAGTTGCCTATGCAATCTAAAACTGGGTGGGACATTTGTTATAATGGTGAAAAAGCTAAATTACATCATTTTTTCCTAAGTAATTTAATACAAGTTTGGCAATCTTTCATCAAAGGATGTTTTCCTACTTTTTTCATATAGTATCTGACTACTAGATATTCATGTCTAACACCTGTAGACAGATTGGACAAGTCCCAGCAAACAATCTGTCAAAAGAAACGTAAAGTTTGCATATGGAAAGTAAAGTTGGTTAAACTTTCCCACGATTCCATTAAAGAAAGACAAAAATTACACACCAAAGAAAAGGTCTCTCCAGAGAAGTGGCAATCCTGCCCATATCTTTCCATCTTAGTCAGTGGTTTAAAAGAAACAGAATGAGAAACATTCGTATTTGGGAGGCCACAAAAATATTTAGCAGCCAACAGTTTGCTGTGAGAAAGGATTCCCCTTCCCCCTTCAATTTACATGTTTCTTTACTTGATTTTGGCTGGCATTGCCAAAGAAGCTTTAAAAGAATCTGGTGCTCAAAGCACATTTGAATTTTAATGGGTGTTGGAAATTTAATTTCCTCAGGATTTCTTTGAAAATTTCCACTTTGTAGAGCTTTGTTTTTAAATGGAGACATAGACAGAAGGATAAACAATAGGTACGGGGAACTTAAGTGAGAGCTGTCAGATATGGAAGTTAACTTGAATACCTAATTATACTTAGCCAGGTTCTTATCTACTTCAGTATCTTGCCTAATTTTGAAAGCAAAAAGCTTAGTATCTCTTCCCTTTCTCTGACTCCCCACCCTATATGGTTGCTCTTATATTTTCTTTCAGCTACACCTGTGTCACTCTTGTGTTACTGCATTCTCCGAGCGAGAGACCCATTCACCTCCCCCTTGCTACTTTGATGCCTGAGGAAGGAGGAGAGGGAAAGCCAAGCTCCTCCTTCCCTTGCACAAGCTGGAATGACCTGATTACGATCCTTACTAGTTTGCATCCTTGTTTCTTCTTCTAAGTTTGAGATGTCAAACACGCCGACTTTTCTCTGATTTCTTGTCCTGTGTTATTATTTCCCTGTCGTATGACAATTTTAACAAGCAGTACTGAAGGCTGAAGTACTGAGGAGCTGGGTATCATTATACAGAGCAAGAAAAACACAAACACACAAATATTAACTCAGGCTGATAAGAGTAGTCAGGATTATTTGCCCTGTGTACTTTTCCAACACATTTGTAAATATTGTAGGGACGTACCCTAAAGGAACAAGGGTAGTCAATTAAAAAGGTGCCCAATACTAACATGGCACAAAATGTCTTTCTTTGACTTTGCGCTATAGAACTTACACTTCACTTTCTGTTCAAAGACAGAGTAGTTACAAGTAACTATGGCCACTCATGCTGGAATTGATGACATCTCAGTGACTGATAATGACTCGGTAGAGCACAAGCATTAAAGTTTGACAGCAGTATAAACTACCCAATGATTGCTGGCAATGAAAACTCTAGCATGATACATATTGCACAAAAAAAGCACAATTACAACTTTTCTTCCTACATAAGACAATAGTTGGTTATAGGGTGTGTTATAGTAGCTCCCATTCTTCATGGTAATTACAAATGTACTTTACAGCACCTGCCCCTGGGTTCAAGCTGTCTAATAAGCAATCCTAAAGAGGAGAAGGCCACTGTAATTAACTGTTTTCTTTTTTTAAAGCAAACCTGGGGCTACCAAATAGAATAACGACACTAAAGTCAAGAGTGAGTAGGACAGAATTCTAAAATGGACATAACCAGAAATTTGAGCCTAAACAAAAAGTTCCCAAACTCACACAATGCATACTTGGCATCATGTATTATACCGGATTTGAACAGGGATCAGCATGCTATGCATGGCTGCCGAAGCTGAACACAGCCAATGCTCCAGAACTGGACTGTTTTACTTGCAGCAGGGAGGAGGGAGCAAGCAAGTGACTGAGACTGTTTTGGCCGCAGAAAGAAGTATGACAAGCAAGGAGGAGTGCACACCTTCCCCCTGCACGGTACAGCTAACTTCTCTCCCACTGCAGCCTTCCCAAGTCAGCAATTACCATCACAGGTCACAACCATCATCTGTGAGCTCTGCCAGCTTTGCTATAGCCACAACATAGCTAGGTTGGAGCCTTTCATTTCAGTAGCCCTCTATCCCTCCTCACCTGTTGAGTCTCAGCTGCCAGTTACAATACAGTAGAAGCCACTGAATTAAATTAAAAGGAAATTATGTTTCATGTTCATACACTACTGTTGAAAACATCTCTTCACAGAAGAGGATAGTGACTGAAAAAATGTCTAAATCAGTTATTTCATACAAACACTCTACAAGGATATGATTGAAACTAAACACCAGAGCCCTTCATGTGACTCAGCACTGTTAAACAAGAGCTTCTTCAATAAACTGGGAAAATAAGTTTTTATTTTCCAACCAACAAAATTATTTCATACCGATACTTTTTGGGCACTCCCTCCTTCCTGCCTGGAATGCAATAAAAGCGTAGCCAGATACTAGATCTGAACAATCAACAGGTGGTTAATTTACAATCCTGAACACGCATCTCTGTACCCTGAGATGCTTCATATAGTTGCCAGACAAGTAGGTATTTTTGCACTAAGTTTAATCTGGTTAATTTAGGCAGCAGTCAAAACGTGGCAGGTTGCACTTGAGTGTGCAAGGAGCCTGAGTTCACCGTTAGGTAGCTTTACATAGCAGTCCATTCCACTGCATCTTCATAGCTACTCTCGTCCACACAAACTACACTGATGCTATTTGAATTACACTTTCCTGTGTTGCAGCCATCTGACCTGAGTTTTATAGATGTGTTAGAAACCACTACTCACATGCAAAGCTTGCCTTTGGAAGATTCAGTGTTTACTCAGAAAAACGGAACATCAGAGAAACAGACTGACATACATCAAATACATATTACCACACCATTACCATACCATACAAACAGTATTATCCATACTGTTAAGCAGGGCTGATACTATATGTATAGGACCGTACCTAAAAGCAACATATATCTGCATATTTTCAAATTAAAACTATGGATTAAGACAATAAAATTAAGAAGTCTTTGTCAAAACCAGCATTTTACTCAAAATCAACTTCCAACAACTAACAGACTAAACTAAACTAACTAACTAAAATTAATTTGTCACGTTCATTTACTTAGTTTATGGCTTCTCTATACAAGGATTAAGTGTTACTGCTCTGAGCCTTCTACACAGCGGCAAAATTGTCATATATTTTAAATTTGCAGATACTGGATTTATTCCTGAATTCTGATAACTTAACAAGTACTATTTCACGCTGGGCATATTTGTGCTCCTAAATACACGCAGAAAAGTACCCTGACAACAGAGCCTGTATGTTTCCTTAGTACTCATTTGATCTCTAAGATCCAAGTTTCACATCGTTTTCTCACCCTGTAACTACCTTGTGGAATTCTATAGGATGAAGCGAGTAACATGAAATCGTCATTGCTGCTCTGTCTACCACATTCAAAGATTGCAGGAACTTCCAATCAGTAAGTGATGTTACAACCCCAATTACAGCTTCTTTAGAAATTAAACACAAACCCAAAGAAGGCCATAAGCCTTTATAGTGCTTTGGTTCGTCAATTTAGAAACTGCCTTTTCAGATCAGTGTTACTGAAGGAATACAGAACATTCAGATGAATGCAATCTTATATACTGAATCTTCTTTAAGGGAACTGTGAAGACTGAAGAATATCACAAAAATATGACTGCTACAGACTTAATCTTGTACCTATTCTATAGACTTCACAATAATAGATATATTCCTACAGACCTATGATTTAATTATTCTTGCAATTTAATAGCTGAAATCATTGAAACTAAACTTACACAAAAGCGGTAATACCACTGTACAATTTATAAAGTTTTTATCCATCGTAGTTAGAGTTACCAGCCTTGAAAATTTGTCACTAACACGTTATGCAACTGCTCCCTCTCCTGGCCAAAAATCCCCACAACACGAACGTACAATAGGAGAGTGTACTAAGTAGAAGTAAATGTATTATTTCAAAGAAACAGAAGTAATGGCTTAAATCTCCGTACTTGTTACAAATAAACACATTCCTGATAGTCAGTAAAATAAAAGAATGTCACCCACAAAACCAGAATAAGGCTGAACTTCAGTTTAAAACACAACAGTCCCCAACTTCCTAACTTCCGAGGCAAAGGACAAACAAATTCTTGTCAGCCTTTCTTTTCCCTTTCTACTCCTCTTCCTCCAGTGTGTTTCTACCTATACTCAAATCTCCAAAAGCTTGGAGCTATCTATTTCTAACAGGTTTTCAAAAGACATCAGTTTTTAATTAGACATCAAAAACAACAGCTAAGTTTAAGTCTCCGTTTGTAAGGCATCTTACCATCCTCCAACATCTCCTCGGCTGTCTGTGGTGTAGTCAGTCACACCACTAAGTAGCGTAGCATAAATCTGAGTAACGTTATCTTTGCAGACATATTCTTCCTGGGATCCTTCTCCCTTTACACCTACTGTCTGGCAAACCCTTTAAAAAGAGAAAATGGCGGGGGGGGGGCAGATACCACACTAGCAAGGAGAAACATTAAGATCATAGCTTTGTTCTGTTGCTTAATAAAATTGTAAACACCTACAACATCTGCTACAAACAGTATGAAGAGTATTTCTGAGCCTACTGTATTGTATTTGACCTGAGGATTTCTGATCAGTGTTCAGGTTTAAAGGAACACTGGGTAAGGCAAAAAACTCAACAGATAAGCAGACTGTTTTTACATCTGTAATACTACAAAAAGGAACATGCTTAAAGTACCTGTCAGTTTCTGAACTCTCCTTAAAATGAAGTAAGCAAGAAGAGCAAAGGATTAATATAATGTGCATTGAATTTGATATCAACAAACTTCTTTACATTGAAGGCATGGTTAACATGAGAAAGAGGGGGGGTTTTTTTGCATTTTAACAGCTTAAGAGCATATATACTGTGATACTATTAACACTAACTACACTGTGGCATGTCAACACAGAAAATACTCCTTTAGAGAAAAATTATGATTTCTTTAAACCAATTCAATCTTCTTATCAAGTGGAAAAAACATATATTCTTCCTCCTCACTAAAGCTCACTAAAATGCAGCCCATGAGAAAGGCGAACTTTAAAATATACTCTAGCTATTCAGTTAATTGAGTCAAAAAAAAAAAAAAAACCACACCACCATCAGAGTTGTACTCCATCCTCAGATGTGTGATAATCCTCTGAATCAAAGATACACTGAATAATGGAAATGCACACAGTCTCACACTGAAAATGCGTATGTCATAGTATAACCGATTTCAAGAACCACACTGTACAGAAAGCAGAATGAACAGGAGAAAACAACTAAAGAAATAATTAAAATTAGACAAAAATAAAGATGATTAACATACTTTGCAATTGCTATTAGGGCATCTCTTCTGGATTCTGCAAAGCTCACATCTGCAGGGGAAATTAAGGTAACTTTTTTCAAACCTTCCAAAACCTGAAAAAATATAAAAATTGAGATATTTAAATCCAATGCATTATTTATGATAAATGTTAAATTTAGATACTGTCTTAAGATGAGCTAATCACGTATGAGAGAACCAAGCAGTCAAGAGTCATGACCTCTGAGCATGCCTCACTTTTTCCTTTGGACAAATGTTCCATAGCAAAGGGATATTCCACCTCTGGCTTTTCCATTAACACTACTAAAGCAGGACTAAACTTTAATTATCAGAATCTATGGCAAGCTGAGTTCATGATGATTTTCTGGAGTTACTGTACATTACAATCCAAACCCCTTTCACAAAGACCTTTAATTACTACCATTATTATTTATTTGATTACGATCATAGGTTTCATTCAAAATACTGTGTGCTCTCTTCTCATTACAATGATCATATTTTCTCACCTGTTGGAGCCTGCCCTTCAGCAGAAATCTTGGAAGGGCCCCAAGAGCTCGTGAAAAGCCACAACGAATCATTTCCTCTGTGTTTTGTAGTTCTGAAACATACTGTGTCACCAGCTCTTATTATTTATTTGATTACGATCATAGGTTTCATTCAAAATACTGTGTGCTCTCTTCTCATTACAATGATCATATTTTCTCACCTGTTGGAGCCTGCCCTTCAGCAGAAATCTTGGAAGGGCCCCAAGAGCTCGTGAAAAGCCACAACGAATCATTTCCTCTGTGTTTTGTAGTTCTGAAACATACTGTGTCACCAGCTCATCTAGAAAAAATACAATTGCAGTGAAAAGCAACAATTGCAGAGAAAAAAGCAACTACCACATCATTATCATTACACATTTGGCTAATGAAAAACTAAAACAGGAAAAGATCCTCCAAACAGAGCAGCTAGAAAATTTTATAATTCATTAAAGTTAAATACAGAATACCTTTAATTTCCCACAGAAAAAATACTAAAAATTTTAAGATGTTCACTGTTAAATGAATGAATTATTTTCTACTTATGAAGTCAGATTTTTAAACAGACTAATCCTAGTCATTCAGAGAGAGAAAAGACAAAGGTCTCCATTTTAAAAAGTTGTAATTTTTAAAAATCCAAAGAATAAGTCTAAGCATGAATTTAAATGCAAACACAGGGGAACAAGTTCTCTTATATTTACAGGTCATCATTTTCCATAATAAGACAAGTACGCTGTGTTAGGAAAGACATCTCTGGATTCGTTAAGGTCAGTTATTCAACAGTTTTCCCCAAAAAAAGTAGGTCTCCATTTTAAAAAGTTGTAATTTTTAAAAATCCAAAGAATAAGTCTAAGCATGAATTTAAATGCAAACACAGGGGAACAAGTTCTCTTATATTTACAGGTCATCATTTTCCATAATAAGACAAGTACGCTGTGTTAGGAAAGACATCTCTGGATTCGTTAAGGTCAGTTATTCAACAGTTTTCCCCCAAAAAAGGCTTAACTGGACTCAGGATTTAAACGCACACATGGATCACACCTAAGCAATAAGATCACATCATGTCACTTTTTATATAGAGACAAAAATAAAGTTGGGCTTTTTCCAGGAGGAAGCTCAAAAAGAAGCAACCGCTTTGAAGTAGGGATACTGTGCTCAGATTCTGTGCATTGTTACATGACAAAACATGGACAATGGCTCTACAAACAGTAGCACACAGAAAAGGAACAAGAATAAACTGAATGGGGCAGGAAAAAAGGAGGCTCAGCAATGAAGTGACGTGATATGAAGAAGAAAATGAGGATGAATGAAAAAAAGAAAAAAGAAAAAAAGTCAGGAAAGGACTCTGTCTACGTATTTCTACTGTAGTCTTTATCATAGACTTAACAGACAATACTTCCTTTACCAGATTTTTCAGCTACTATATTAAACTCTTCTGTAAAATGCAGAGAAAAACAAAGTACTCCACAAAAGCTTCTAAGAACAACGAAGAGAGTTGCAATAAACACAACTCTGGTTCAAAAAGGAGAAAGGTGGTCTTATTAATCACTTTACTGAATATGCACTTTTTAATCCTCAAAGAAAAAGAATCAGAGCTCCTAGGAAGATTACATAATTGTGCTAGGAAGATTACATAATTGTGTCATTGCTTACTGTAATCTAAGATTTAAATGATTGAGCAATATTTGCTAGAGGAAGAAAGAATAGTTACCATAAGAAACTACACATTAATCATAACTCATGACTGTCAACTTTTTTTTTTTTTTTTTTTAAATCCCTATGCAACTGGCAGGCCTCAACTAGTTCCTCACATCAGGGAACTAGTTCTCTGTCCAGAGGTTAGCAATACCTTCATATAAGGACATCTATTATTTAAAAATTTCCAAACCACTGGAGTGTAAGATAGAGTCTTGAGGCCATAGTAAGATGCAACGTGTGCTTAGACAGCAAGATGATCTTAGCCAGTAAGACAATGACAGTCTTCCCTTTGATTGATGTAAATTTAAGATTGATATTTTAGCCAAATGACATAAAATTAAGACATGACAACTAGCAAACGAGCAGCTCTACTTATAAATACTTAGTAATTATGCTAGTGAGGGTAATGCAAATGTTAATATTCTTCTAAGAGTCTTCAGCTTCATAAAACAATATGGCCTATGAAGTGTCTACAATATTAATTCAACACAACCCATCCTGAAAGAATATTAAAAGAGAAAGTCATCAAAACCAAACCAGAACACATTAAGACAGAAAAAATAAAACAAAGAAAAGGTGAAAACAAACAGAGGTGAAAGAAGTGATTCAATAAAATTGCAGTCTTATAGGGACAGATTCAGAACGCCGAATCACTAAAGTATCTTTGATTTGTGTTTTCATTTTAATCTGTCAAGCCATAGTGAAACACTAGTTAAATTTTACCAAAAACTTTTTTTTTTTTCCCTAATCCCCTTAATCATGTTTAGACCTGCTTTAACCAACTTATCTAAGGCACCTGTATCGTCATTGAACGTCTTCTGCACTGTAGCTTCCACACTTACAGGCATATGTCAGACATTATGGGGAGGATTTTTAGTGGTGGATTTAAATCTCACAACATACAGATTTTAATGGTCATGAAATATATAGTTTTTACTGACACAGAGATGAAAATACACAATTTTTTTTTCTTTTAAAAGATGCTTGCATGTATAATGGCACTTTTGTTACCATGTGTGGAAGAGGCTTTAGAGCAGTACAAGGCCAAATAAAAGCATAATCAAGACAGAGCTGACTAGAGATTTTTTCTGAACAGAAAAATTTCCAACTCACAATTCTATTCTCTAAATCATTCCAGAAAGTCTGATGAAAAATTTTGCCTCTATCTACAAATCTGACTCTAATTATGTCCCTAGACCATACATCGCTATGATTCCTTCACGCACAAGCCAGATGAAAAGTTAACCTAGAATCCAGGAAAAAATAATCAAGCTTCATAGGCATCTAAAAGAGTACAGCATCAGGACAGCTGCACCCATCTATTGCATGTTCTTCCAGTAGATCCTCCCTCCCTCTTGATCTTGACACCTGGCTGAGTTTTCTGGTCCACTTTTACAGAAGCTTGAAACTTCATCCTTACATAAAATGTGACCTATTAACCTTTCAGCTCATTTTTAGCTTGCTTTCTTTGATTCAGCATTGTCTCCTCCTGCCCAAAGTGTTCTGTTTTTACAAAACATTACCCTTTCCTGAGGTGGGTTTTTTTTGATCTGCCTCAGTACCGTATCACATCTTCCCATGCTGCCTACAAAAAATCAGGCATGCAGTGCCAACCTGCATGAAGGAAAGGGCTATTTTTGGTAAATTTTTTTGACAAAAATACAGAGATTTAGCAATATAGAAAAGATTTAAAAATCAAGATAGGCTGCTTTTATATAACACCCATAACTTCTTTGGGGCATGGACTGCATGTTACTATGTATGTGAGAGGTATCAGGTTCATTCTGGGAACTACCATAATAGAAATAAGGTATTCTGTTACCTGATTTAGGAATGACTTACTAATGGCAAAAAATAGGACAGGTATTCATTATTTTGTTAAGTATATGTAATTTCACTGTCATATTTAGAAAAACAAGAATATAAATGTTGTTATTCTTAAAATATCTATCTATACAATCCAGCAATCTGTCTCTGATGGACGCGATACAATTTGATACTTGAAAGAAAAACGTCCAAGAAAACCAGTATAAAAAAAGATGTTGATTCAAATGCCCCTAACAAAAGTTTAAGCCTACTCCTGTACTACTGATCCAAATCCAAACAGATGAGGTTTCACATGCACATTTACAAGAACTCTGGGTGTCCTTGCTATCCTTCTCTTCTTATGCCTAACGAATTCTTCTTCTTTAAGTCAGCCACTATCTCTGGCATACAGTTTATCAAAATACAATGCGGAAATGTCTCACTTCATTAAAATTTAGGATTTGCCACACACACATATTCTTTGCTGCTTTGTTTTACAGTATGGAATAGAAAAGCAATCTGTTTTTCCTAATATTCATTATTATGGTACCTTGTATTCACCTCCAGTCTAAAACAAGCAAAACCCCTGAGACATTTCCTAGAATTTCAGTTGGTTTTATCATTCTTTCCTGAAGCATTTTAAGGTCCTTTAAAATTAGTGATGCTCCTCCCCATTCTACCCAATACCTCCAAAGTGCAAGTTAGGTCCAGCCCAATATTTTCTGCCTCTACTGTAAACATGAGTCATTACCCTGTAGAGCTGGATCAGCTTCTCCCTTTTCATTGATGTAATATTCATTACACAGCGCAGCCAGTGCAGAGACTGCAGACTCCTGTAACAGAGGCAAAACTGTAAACTTGATATATTTACTAAGGTCATACTTTATGATAACTGTGCTTAGAAGTAAAAGGTTAAGGAAAAAGAAAGTGGATTTTTTTTTTAAATCATTCCCTTCTGCTCCTGACATTTACTTTCTTTTTATTTCTTCCCAATACTGGTTTAAGAACAGTTGAATAGGAAACCTATGCAAGAAAAAAACAGATTCTACTATTATTCCTTCAAAAGTACCAGTAAGCTAAATTAATATTTAAGACGTTAATACTAATGTATCAACTGTATTTTCAGTTCAGTTGAAGGACTTCCAGGATGACACAGTATTACAAAATACAGAAGTCATTATTTTATATTCAATATATTGATGCCAGATTGATAAGAAACAAACCATATTTCCCCAGAAAGCTATAGAAAGGAAACAGAAAAAAACCACGGACAGAAGGTTATAAACAAAACCCCAAAAATATCCAGTATCACAATCCTTGCATCTCAATCTTAATTGGTTTAGAAAAGGATCAAAGGTTGTGTATTATGCCTGAACCTCCTAATCTTCAGAGTGGTTTCGGTCACCAATATAGAACACAAAACTAATACAAAAACATGTAACAAGTTTTCTCATAAAATTCATGGTTGAATTATACTTTTCAGCTAACAATATAATGCTGACCAAAATTATAATAAATTTGAGAGCGTACAAAAAACTATGCACTGTTCACTCCATATTAATAGCAACGATCCTTATCAATACTCATGTTCTCCAGGTACAAGAAATCTTACATGATAACACAGGAATCCTGTACAGCTTATTAATTCTACCCTCAAAGACACCTCAGACTTGTTCTCTATGCAAAATAATGGACTTGAAAGAAAACCAGTATTCATCTAAATAATATTCTAACTACCACAGACATTATAGCAGCAAAATATACAGAATTATCTAATTGCTGTAGATCATAGAATCATAGAATAGTTTGGGTTGGAAGGGACCTTTAACGGTCATCTAGTCCAACCCCCCCATGGGCAGGGACATCTTCGACTAGGATCAGGTTGCTCAAATCCTTCACTTTCTAGAGAATGGTTTTCACCTTAAATGCATGAAGTTACATTGGAAGAGTATACTGTATGTCAGAAAAAAAAATTACTTTTCAGTGTCTTAAGCGTTGCCCTTAAAATTATTTCTCTCTCAAATATATACAGAAATCAAGTGAGAATTGACATTCACTAAACATACTTTGCTTAACATTAATTAATGTTAACCAAACAAGTCAAAATTCTCTAAAGTCTATAATTAATTCTTCTAAGCTTGGTTTAGAAATCCCAGTTATAAGACATACAAACTCTTGGAATAAATTGCTAATGCCAAAAGAATATTCCAAGAATTCAAATTTCATCTTTTAATTTTCTTCAGTGATTCGGATACATTCTAGTCTACTCTGTCTTCCAAGGAAGACTTTAAATGATGAGCTACCAGATATTTGCAATGGCTTTTTATCTTATTTTTAAAAACTAACAACATGAACACAGTATGTTATATTCAAATTGTCTTTGTGATGGCTATAAGCTTTAACAGGGCAGATGAAAATTTTCTTTATAATTTCGGAGAGCCTTTAAGTACGCAAGATCAAACTGTCATGGTATTACTCAGGAAAATTAAGGCAAATAACTGGAGGCGTTAAGATCATGTACATAAAATAGTATGAAACATATCCATCAATGGATTTAATATTAAGAATTAGAGTAGCTTGAGAGGACAGTAAAAGGATTTGCAACAGAGTTTAATGGAAAATTTAAGCACATGGTTCTGAATAACTGGTTGATCACACCAGTGTTCTCACTGTTAACAAACACACCCTCAGTACATCAGGCCTGAGGACATCATCCAGAGATTCTTTTTAATTCTCACAAAAGTTCTCTGAAACTACCAAAATCAATATATCTTACACATATTACAGGTACACCAAAATAGAAGCAAAATATCATATCAGTGTAACCATATAGCCAACAGCAAGTACCTTCAAGCAACCATCAGCGACTATGCACCGCCAGCCCACTGTCAATGCCAGCACCTGTCAGTTACTTTGTCCAAATGTACATACAAGAACAACCCTTGTGATAGCTGTTCAAGTATTAATCAAAAAGGTCCCTTTGAATTTTGAGAAATTTATTTTTTTTTTTTTTTTTTTTTTTAAATAACCCTTCTTACCAATCTAAGAAACAAACATTCAAGAACCAATTAGATTCCATGGAAAATAATCCACCACCGGAAAGCAAAAATATTTCTAATTCTGTATTTAATGTGATGACATGAAGAAGAAGGAACTATTGTACCTTTATATGCTGTCGTGCAGCGCTTGAAACAAGAGGGAGACTTCTTAGACTGTCATTTATTAACCACTGCCAGCCACCTGAAATAGTAAGGAACATAATTGGTATGAATTTTTCTTACTTTCTGAACTTCAACATTCTCTGTTTATTTTTTACAAAGACAAGCAATTATACATATTGACGTGTTTCCTTGGTTTTCCAAAATAAACAAGGTTGTGATTCTCAATTAGTATAGCTGTTCTGGTTTGTTTTACAATGTACATAGCGCAAACACTGCATCTGGTAATGCTGAAAACTTGATAGGGGAAAAAAAAATATTAGTAAACAGCTAGAAAACAAATTTTCAAACATCACCACCATCTGTTGCAGCATTTGTGTAGCTTTTTTGATTTTTTTTTTTAATTTGTTAGGCCACCCAACCTTGCTAATCTTGCTTCTTCGAAAAACATCATTGGTTAATAGTTTAGCTTAATGAATAACTACTAAGATAATGGAGGGTTATTTAAAATATGACATACCGATTATTGGATCTCCTCTAAATGGTATTTTTGATAGCGACAACTTTTCAATTAAAGTGCAGACTGCAAGAAAATAAATATAATAACTGGATAAATACAAAAAAACGAGAAATTGTAGCAATTTTGAAGATACAACCACATCAAGCTACATTAGCATTAATTTTAAATTGAAGAAAATTTGCAATTTGAAGTCCAAAATATGTGACATTAGAAATTGAAAGGAAATTACACTTGCTATTCTTACATACAAAAAAAGCTACTATGAGTAACTGTTCTGTGACATGAGTTAGTCCCATTATTCATGCAAATCCATTGTTTGGTGGTATGTTTTTCCCCCTCTGCCATTTAAGGTGCATATGTACATATTGGCCACCTTTCTGTTTCTATACCAGTCTGTAAATGGCTATGTAGTGTCGTCGATAGTAAAACAACGTGGACAAGGATAATACTACAGCCCCTAAAAAACTATTCAAATATATATATGAAAGGTTTTCCTACTTCTTATTAGCATTTTTTGGGACCTTCAAGGAGTGGCATCTGTTCACTGCACAGAGCTAGGAGCTATAAAACTGGATGCAGCTTTATTTCCTTTGATACTCAGAATACGAGAAAATGTAATTTTAATAATTAAGTCATTATTTTAAATCTATAAACTTAAATAAAACTAAATAAATCTATAAACTAAGCTTACAAACCCACTTTCAGAATAGTATTTCTTTTAGTGTTTCAAGGCTGGTTTAGGGAATAGAGATTAACACAGTAAACATTGCAAACTTTTACTATACGATAGATTGACTGCATTGCTCAAATGAAAACTCAGCACTTGGGGAATACACTATCTTTCACCTCCTGGTGATCAGTTCAAATAAAACAGATCAGTATAGATCCATGCTCACTATCTGACTGCTTTAGAGTTGGTGGAGAGTTGGTGGAGAGGAGGGAGAGGACAGAACAAGCTACTATATAATGCCACCTTTTTGTTTTCCTCTCCTCCCATGACTTAATCTTTGAATCTTACTCTGGGCTCTGTACACAGTTAATCACCTTCTTCATTTATAATCAACTTACTGGGCTCCAAATCTACTCTTGAATTCAGTCCTCACTATGGTAATGTCACACAATCAGGCTCCCTGTGCTCAAACTCCATTCAGTATTGTATGTCAGCTTCTTTGTTCTAATATTTATTCACAGACAAGGTTAAGTACAATGTGACTAAACCCAAGTCTCTTAGGGTTCCTCCTTAGTTCTCTACACTTCTTTTATGCTCTGTTGTGGTTGAGACCATCATCTTCATTAGACATGCAGGCAATTTGTGGAGTATTTCAATTCTTCTCTTATTCCACGCACACAGTTGTATCATGCCAAAATACTGTCATTTGTACTTCTCCAATACTATGAAATACTCAGCTGCTTAAAAGCTAAAACATATTAAAAAAACCCTACCTATTCTTTCAGCCAGCATTATCATGTCACAAGACTGTAAATTCATTCAAAGACTGCAGAAATCCCCTTGCCCCGTTCACCCCTTCTATTTGATCACCCTGCCATCTTGGTACTCAAACACCTTTACCCACTAAGTTTGGATGGCTTCGCATCTTCAAAGCCAGAACCTGCTATGTAGCACTTCCTTCATTCAACCCATGGGCAGGAAACTCAAGTTGGCATCATTTCCTTATCCACCCAGGCTACCTGGATGAGTACTTTTTCCGGCAATGCCCTTCCTTTTTACAGTGGTTCTGTATATAACAATCTTCAAAACCCATGTGAACAACGCATCATCTTTTCTGTGGTACCACCCTTTCCACAAGCTATTGTTTATATGGTCTTTATTCTTCACCTTTGCGCACATACGTATTATGATAAAATCATTAGTTACACGATGACATCTGTCTTAATGGACAGATCACATCTCTTCTGGAGAGGAATCTGAGTAAATCAATGAAGGAAGCCAGCTCAACCCTGAAGAAATTTCACTGTGTGCAACAACAGAAGGAGAGAATGTGTGACATAAAACCAAGAACTATCTCCAACTCTTACACAAACAGGGTTATTCACAGTTGTGCTGGCAACCAATGTTCTGGTGTACCTGTCTTCTGACTGGCCTCCAAACCTTGTTTTTTTTTAATTACTGTGCATACTTTATTTATGCATTCAATACAATATATGCAAAACAAACTGGAAAAAAGTAAACAGAAGAATTCATTACTGCACATCTTCGGCTTTCACACCACAGCTGTGATACTTACCAGCTGGTCTCATCAATTCTCCACCTAAACCCCTGCAAAGCAGAAACAGAGCCTTCAGAAAACAACCTACCACAAGCAATCCGAGTGCATTGCCTCAGTGAGTGAGGCCTGAGTGAGGAAAAAACCCTCAAAACCATTTCAGAATGAAACCAGATCACAAAACACCTGCAGTTTTGTATTTGACCAACTCTAAAATACTTCTTTTTAAATCAACTGTTGTCTTGACTTCCTCAATATTTAACTTTCTTCTTGCAAAAATGTGGTCCCAGTCTTTCTAATTTTTAATGTGAATAATAAAAGACTGTCAAGTTCATTCTGCTTTTCTTTTCACTTGCTTCAGAAGCACTCCAAACCTATGGGACTTGCCACAAGACTTTTCAGTCACACAGCCTCTACGAGCTCCTGACTTCCACAACTGAAAAGCAATTACATGCAATTTTTTAACAAAATCTTCATCTCTGGAACATTAAATAGAAACGTCACTTACCAGTTCCCATTTTCACAAATGTTAACTGGTTTACTTTCGTGGTGAAGTTTCTCAGCATTCTCTCTTCACCCTCTCCTTCCTCGCTAAAGCCCCCTCCCAGGTGATTTTGCATTCATCACCACAAGCGAGGGGGTAAAAACTTCCAACACATCAGAAGAGGGAGAGGAACAAATGGCTCAAGATGCTTCAGACCCTCCTGAAGTAAGTGTGTGTGTTACATAAGGATGGTCTCGCCAGCTCAGACCTCAGGCTTATCCAGCTCAGTTACCCTGTCTGAACATTAGCCTGGCCACTGACAGCACTAGGAGGAGAAAGTCTGAACTGGGCAGAAAGTGGGAAGAGGAAGAAGCGTCCCAGAAGTGGCAGGGCCTGTTTCCATTCTTTAGCCTCTCATGTCTCTGGGCAGAGAGACATCTCCTCACCCCACATAGCAATGTCTGCTGGTTACATGGATATCCCCGAGGTGCCGTGAGCACTGCTTGGGGTGTTCTGCTCAGTGTCACCCTCTGTGGCTTAATTTTTCCATTTTATGAACCTTTGACCCCTGCCCTTCCTTTGGCTATTTCCTCCCTTGGCTCCTTATTCCTGTCTCCCTTCACTTCTGCTGGAATACTTCCTCCCTGAGGTGTGCCCAACCCTTAATCACCTGTTTGTATGGCCATGCTCCGGCAGAAACTCCCAGCAAGGGGGAGGAACAACAAAGGCTTTTTTGTATTTGCTTGCTGGAATACTTCCTCCCTGAGGTGTGCCCAACCCTTAATCACCTGTTTGTATGGCCATGCTCCGGCAGAAACTCCCAGCAAGGGGGAGGAACAACAAAGGCTTTTTTGTTTATTTGCTTGGCTTTTTTTTTTTTTTAAAAAAAACCTTTTCTTCCCTCCTCTCCTCCTCCCTCCCCACAATAAAATTAGTAGCCATGCTCAGAAGGCAAACTTAGCAACCCTAACAACTCTTAGAACTTTGTTCTCCAATTTATCCTTTTATATGAGCTTCAAAAGCCTAAACATTTTAAACAAGTTTTTCCATTCCTCACAAGTAGGTGCCTCCTGTAACATGCACTGGGTTTTTGACTGCTCAATATTTTCATTGGTTTTTCAGGTAAAGCAGAGATGCCAACTCCACAATATTCTTATTTGCCATAGATCAGCACTTCCTTTAATTGGGAAACCTTTGCTTTCGACAATCAATATTTTAAGCTCTATGTAATAATCCACAGCTCGGTTTATCATCGTAGGAAGCAAGCACAGATTCTACATCCCCATGCTGATAAGGTCTTTGTATTATCTACCCCACCTTCCTGCCATGTTGTCTGCTCTTCAGCTTCTAAAAAATTTAAATTAGAAAACAAAGAAGTGATGCAAGGAGTCGAGACAGCGGCAAAAACAGAAGAATGATGTGGCAAGGCTTGCTTCCTCTTCAACATTTCTTTCCCCTTCATTTTGTCCTCACCCATTCCTTGCCTTTTGTCTGTTGTCTTACTGCAAATGAGTATAAAATAATGATCTTGTAAATTTGTTTGGTGTGCAACAGAGTCTGCTGATGCAAGGATTCAGATACAGACTTCTGTTCAAACTACAAAGCAAGAACTGAGTCATAAAGGCTGCTCTTCTCCATTTCTTCACACTGCCAATAAGGAAGTCAGGCCATTTAAAGCTACTCTTATGTTAATAATTTGACAGCTATCCCTTCCTTTGGCATTACATCAATTCCATTTAATTTCAGAGTTTAGAGCTTCACTGAGGATTGTTGTCCCTGTGCAAGAATGAAGAATGGTGACAGTGACTTGCACAGTGAGATTTCCATGTAATGCAGAAACTATAATCAAATCTATCTTTGAAGGCACTGCGATACCATGTGTTCTTCTCTGCAAAACTTTTCAAGTTATTTCTTGCCTAGACATCACAGTATGTCCATCAATACATCTAAAATTTTTCCCCTTTCCACAGCTCATACATATTTCAATTTTAAGAACTGAGAATTCTATCATAATCCTAGATCTTTCCTCAGTCAGTGTTTAGTTTGTCAAACATGATGCGCATCTTTCTATTAACTTTATCTCCCTCTACAGTATTTTCACTAAATTAAAAAGATACGGATCTACCTAATTCAGAGATTCTGAATTTTGCTGTACAGTCAGTATTCTCTCTTTTTTCTTCCAAAGACACATCCACAAATTGCATCACATTATTAGATGTACCTGTTTCAAGGTTTAATTATTAATTCAATTTGTAAATTGACTGATGCAGTGCCCAGGTTCCATGAGCTCCTAAGCATTCCTTCCTATGTGCAGTTCCACAGCAATGCTTCTCTCCTAGAAACATCTTAGGATGAGTCACAATTTATTTGTGGAAAATGTAATCAAAATGTATAACCCCTTGTAGAACGGATGAATTAAGATTACTGACCTAAGAATGCTGGTATCTATTTTAAAATTATGTAGGCCTGAATCAGAACCAATGACAGTGCTGTTTTCAGTGCATACAGAAGTTCAAGGTACTTCTGTGGATTTTTTTTTTTTTAATTATTTAAAACCTGCTTTTTGTGAGAAGTTCAGAATTCACCTTTAAGATTATAAAAATAACAGTCACTGATGCTGTTTAGAATTGAATAGCATCTACGTTTTCATAAACATCTGAATCTGAAGTTAAAACTACTGGAATAGCTGAAGAGATTCAATTGCAAATACTCAATTTCCAGGAAGCTAAGACACTTGATGAATAAGTATTTTCATCTCCATATGAATAATAACCAGTTATTTTCCATGGGAACTCTTTGTCCCAAATAGAATTGAGGTAACTTAAAAGGTCCAGGTCGTACACTTACTGGGCTTTGGAAGTACAAAATGGCTTTATCATAAGGCACCCAAACGAGGAAAGAGATACCTTTGAGCACAGACAAAAAAGCCCGTGTATTTAATAAAGCTCTTATGGTCATCCCCTGAAGATGCAGAGAATAAACTATACTAAGCTGACAAACACCTATTTTTAGGTTACTGTAAATTCATATGCTGACCATACACATCTTGTATTTATGCTAACACCAGAAGACTACAGGTGAAATCCTGGCTCTATGGAAGTAAGAGTTTTCCCAGTGACTTCAGTTAGTAGCAAAATAATTTCACCTTATAACTCTTCAGAACATAGTATAGCACGATCTCCTAGAACCTTCACGCTACTGGATGCAAAAAATAATTTAAACTTGGAAGAATTGTTAAGACGAGCATTGTTACAAGGCTGGAATTATTTGCTGATTAAGTTAATATGCCTAAAAAACTCTTTTACGTAGATGACTGCCAAGAAATACATTTGCCCTGAAACCATCAAGATTAGTTGCAACCTTAAAGGTCTTTGAAATGAGACGAGTTTCTCTTTTGCCTAGCACCTGTCAACACCTACAGGCTACCTTACTCTTTTGGAAAAGTTAAAACTCTGAAGATGACAGTCCAGCTTACACTGGCTACTATTCTAAAAACCTAAAATTGCTCGTGTCACATAGCTGACCGTGTAATACACACAGCCAGACTCTTCATATGTTACAAGAATGAGATCAGAGCAAAACTCGGCATGCAGCACATTGCACTGAATCATCCAGTGTGGGAGTCGCTAACGAACTCTGTGCATCCTGTCATATCCAGCTCTGATGGGAACCCTGAAGGCCCAATAAATAGAACATTTGCTGAAATACAGAAGTGCAGTGCAACTACCTGGAAGAAGCCCAGCATATCTATCTGCAGCACTTCCACATCCGTCCCTAAATTATCTTGTTACCCAACTCTGTGTAGTAAGACCTACATTATCAGACTCAGAACTGGCTACAAGAAAGGAGGTAAAAAAAAAAATCTGAACATCTATTCAGCTGAATATTCAGTCAAGAACCTTATATCAGATGATGCATTTTAAAAAAATCTTAACAGAACTACTATTAAAAATACTTTTTTCTTGAGGACTTTCATATTGAAAACTAGTACAAGGTCTTAGATGCACTACAGAAATGTACCTGCTACAAAAAAGATACTAACCATGCTGGTTCGGTGGAAGCATAATATAAATCAGGCTGACCATTAACACTGTGTTTAAACTGACTTCCTATCCCAAGTAAGACAGCTTAAAGCAACAGATGCCACAAGTTTTTGTCTTAGTAATGTTTAAAGCAAATAAAATACAGGTCAATTTTTATAACTCTATAACCTGTATACCACAAAACAGGAACAATGGACAAACACTCTGTTTAAGTGGCATGGTTTGCATTGACTTGCTATAACTAGTGCCCATTTAATACAGAAAATCAGGCTCACTGCGCAATACTCAACTGGAAGTGCACATGCAAATGCTTAAACCAACCAGCTCCTCAAGACAAACTAGTGCATCAAACGTGTCAGAATCAAGACTAATGGAAGGAAGTACATACTGATGTGCCTGGACTTGCATTCTCCTTTTTCAGCGTACTACGGTAAATCCAGAAAAGGACTTACAGAGGAAGAAGGCAGAAAGATACTTGCATTTTTAAAAAAATGTTAATACAGTAGAGGACAGGATTTTCTACAATTAGCATAAACAAATTTGATTGCTTCAAGTATACTCAAAATTGAGAGACTGTGCAGTGTAACTCAAAACTTGGACTGTGTCCTGTCTGAAGGATAATTCATGGCCGTCGTTCAAAATCAGGTTAAAGACATTACAAGAGCTGCTAAACAAAGTAAGACGGTTAGTTAAATGAAGGTCTCCATTACAGCACTTTGGCTTTAACTTTTTTGACTTGAGGTACTTACAGATTCAATGGAATCCTAAGCATTAGACAATCAAGAAACTCACGACCCATTTTCCAGCTTAAAATTTATAAATTACAACTTAAAAAAAACCCAACCAAACCACAACACAGCATTTTTACGCTTTACTTCCTTCTCCCTTTCTCACAGGTAACACAATTTCTGAAAACAGCTTGATCAAAGCATTAAAATCCATTCGGTCCACAAAAAGACAGCTATTTTGTGGCCAGAAGTGAAAGCAAAATATCTAATAAACAGTTGAGATATGTGGTCTGATGCTTTTTGTTAATGCACTTTAAAAACTAGAAACACAAATAAAACACACAGGTTTTCAACCTTCCTACAAGATGTTGTTACACCGAAAATTCCCGGTAGCAATTTCTCAAATGGAAATCTTTGGAATATTATGTGCAATAATTACTCATCATGAAACAAGTTTGGCTTGTTTCACTAAATGCTTGCCCAGCAATACTCAAAATTGCTGGTTTGTTTTTATAACCTAGTTTATTTTTCTTGTCCTATTTTAAAATATTTTATGTATACCGGTATTTTAAAATATGGATTATGGTAGACATCCTTGTCTCAGCCTAACTATTAAACAGCAGTGAATCAATCTTGCTTGGAGTTGAATTAGAAGTCTTATCTAGAATGAAAACATTTCTGTAGGCATCTTATAAATACCATTAAGTGCAAGAAGTGCACATTATGACAAAAACAAATTACACCCAAGCTCCACCCTGACATTAAAGAATTTATGGGAGCCAAGACAGCCACCCACAAAGACACTAATATACAGTATCAGCATTAAAACCATCCGCCAGTACAAGCTAACTTTGGAGTGGAAGTTTCACACCAGTATGTACAACCCTCAAGAAGTAAATTTTAACATTTTTTCAGAAAGTTTCAGGATACAAAAACTTACATAAAAATTCTTTAAATTATAATTAATAATTACACAAAAAACTACTTAAGGTTTACTGTTTTCAGACACGTCACATGCAAAGAAGCGAACTAAACTGCCCAAAAGCTCAAAGAATTTGTCAGTTAAAGCAGAAAAAAACCCTCATTCACATATACAACCGTTAGGGAATACAAGTCATTAATTACGTTTTGATTTCCTCAAATTTAGGAACAAACTCTGAAGTCATATACTAGTTTTAATTCACATTTACTTAACAGTTACTTAGGCAAACTCCCTTTATTTCCTGGAAGCTTCAATAAATAGGAAATGAAAAACAACTCAGTGAAAACTCATTTACATTTTCTTTGGCACAAGAGTTGAAAAATTGCATTGAACCTTTTGTAATACTCCTGGCCTACTCATTACACAGGATGAAGAAAGTAATTCTAGAATTTAGATAGAAGCTCCTTTAAAAAATAAGTAAGTCAATTTTGGACTCATTAACTTATTAGTTTAAGATCATTTCTATAGACCTATTTGAACCATACAAGTACTACAGTACAGGTGAATAATGGGAAATGCTGAAGCCATGGATTAGTGAGCATATTCTGTTTCACATTCTTTCTTTAACTGTCTCTATCACAATATTGAGACCAGTACTTACCACTTTCCCATTAATCTAACATGCCTGTGAGTTGCACTCTCTAAACACCACAACCATTATAAAACGACATCAGCCTCTGTAATAGGAAGAGAAAGCCAAAAGAATGCATGTGCCTGCATTCTGACGAACTGTGAGAGACTGGCAGTCTATGGTTGGTGTAACTAACTTGTACAAACCAAAAAGCCCCCTAGGATCCTACTGTTTTCATTCCTTCTAATTGATACCTTCCAATGCAAAAAAGTATTTTTTTTGCATCCATTTTCTTACCTGTACAATTGACGACTGCAAAGCTGGGGAAAAAAAAAAAGCAGAGTTTGTTTGATACAAGTGTTTTCATTTTTCCTCCTCGCATGCAATATCTATATACTGTGAGCTATGCAACACAGTGCATTATTTTAAAAATAAAATTGAAAGGACAAATCTTTTTTAAAAAACCTCTCTATACCCATTTGAATTTTACATTCAAAGAAAATCAATTTAACACATTCATAAAGCACCAATTTTCTTATTTCCAAATCCTAGCTGCTCCTGCACATACCCTGGAAGCTAGTTTGGCTTTTTAAAATACATTTGCTTTCCACAGTTGGCCCTTTTAAAATTATGATATACTGCAGTGTCTGAAAACTGAAAATAACTTCGTTAGCTACAGATTAAACAGGAAAAACAAACAAAAGTTCAAATGTGACTGAAAAAAATTATCTCATTGTTAACATTACAGTAGGCCATCTTCAAAAATCAGAGATTATCAAATTCCTATGTAGTAAAAACCCCAAACCCCAGATTTTCAAAAACAAAGAGTTTACACCAACTTTGCAGATTAATTACAAGAACAGACAACAGCAGAAACTGGAAAGTATCATAACGAATTAAGGCCATTGTAACAGTACAGATACTGCTGATCAAGCTTCCAGACATTTCAACATGAGAAAGTTAAACAAGGACAAAGATGCTTCTTCAACCTGTAGCAGCAGCTTTCACCTATGCACAGAACTAAGCAAGCACCTATGTACTTTAAAGCATGATGGGTAAATGGTGAAGCCTGACAGCTTTAGCACGTCAGAACTGGGACTAAAGGTACTACAGATACTGCAGAAAACAAGTAGGAGCCTGAATGCTGAAGTATTGTCTGTTCCATAAGGTGAAGAAATAGGAGCCAAAAGAAAAAAACACCACCACGGGATGACTTAAAATTAAGGGGACAAGTTAGGCAAAACAATCTCCATAGAAGCATTTTAAATTGCTATGAGCAGGACAAGACTTAATTTGTCGTAAGTAGAGATAAAGACAATGCATGAGTTGAAATACAGAATATGATTTTCAAGCTCTATAAAACATGTAAATTATGGATGCAAGGATTTAGCAATGAAATCCCAATAAAGTAAAAAAAAAAAAAAAAAAAAGAGTAGAAAGGACAGAGAATGGACTCACTAGGAGATCTCTCTTGAGCATGGTCACATTAAGGAAACAGCCATACATCTATCTGCAAGGCCAGTCAGCATGTACAGAAAGGGAGGAAAAAAAGAAGGGGAAAGAAAAACAAAGCAAAACCCCATGCAGTATCTCAGAAGTGCAACTGACAGCATCAGAGAAAGTGGCTTAGCTAAGAAGCTGGCAGAACAGAAAGGGACCAAATACAAAATTATACTGGAGTAAGACACACGGTCAAGGACATCTAGCTATCAGTCTGGAGCGTGTCTCCAAATTCGTGTTTGTGAGATTGTTTACTTTGGGCAAGGGGAAAAGGAAGGTGGAGAACAGCTGCCTTAATTGTAAATGTTTGTTTAAAAATAATACAACATACCAGGTTAAAAGATACATTTATACTTGCTACAAACCTCTTGATGGATTTGCTTAAGTCCCTCCAATGATTTTTCATTGAAATAATATGTTATAGATCTGTAAAGGTATACAAAATTTTTAAGACCAGTTTCCTAATCATGCGGTAAATAATTTTTCTTCCATGACTTCATTGTAATTTCAAACAGAAAAACAATCATTTGATTTCCAAATTATGCTCAACAGAAATATGCAATATTTAATTTTAAATAGTTCAGCAAACATAATAATATAAGTTCTTTCCTTACATGTAGCAAACTCATTCTTAAAGGACTACAAAAAATTAGTGTCACTTACTAATAACATTATAATCAGTAACACACCAATAACCCTTCTCAGCTCAGTTGTTTTTTTGGACTCCAACACTTCTGTGATTTTTCCATCAATTTCAAGTGCTACTATGACTAGTAAAAACGCTCTGCATCTTTTTCTCTAACTTTTCAACTTTCTTGAGAAGGGAACTTTTAAGATTAACACAAATTCTTTTGATAGACACTGCTGGCAAATACAATTCCTATTTGTCAATAATTAAAGCCATAAAAATCAGTACACGCTTTTTGATATCTACTGTTTGAATTCATCTCAGTATATTTAGCTTGTACAAACAATGACAACATTAAATTTGTTAGATGGCATCACTTTAGATATCTTTGTATGACTGCATCAGAATGTTCTCAGAAGTAAAACAAAAAAGGTTAATCAGAGAGTAATTATCCAACTTTTAGAACAAAAATGACCCAGAAAGCCTGTCTGTATTTCTACAGTGTACATATATCTATGACTCCTGCAGAACTGTATGTATTTTCAGTGAAGTTTGCACTCTGGAGTCTTATTTTCCACTGCCTTGATCTTAAACAGCTGCTCATCCCAATTTAAGTCACGTTATTATAAAATTCTACTGCTAACGTAACTTCCAAATTCTAGTTTTTGCAATAAAGATTTTCAACCATTTTTCACATGTGATTCTTGTGAAAGAAAGAAAAGGTAAATGTCTCATTTCTTTAATCACAACATTAAAGCAAAGACATATCCAAATAATTTTGTCAATTATTCTGGCTACATCACCTATATGCAATACATGTGTGTGTACACACACATACACCCATATATACATATATATCTGTGCCAGCACTCAGCAGCAACAATTAAATCAGTCCAACTCAACAAGCTGCTTGAGGAGGTATTTCTCTAACACTGAAGACGAAAGACTGTCCCCTCACTGGGAAGACAGCATACTTATGGGGAAAGGGGGTTTAATCTATATTTAAATGATAACTTTGAACTCTCCAAGTAAGGCAGCAAATGATCTCACTTTCCTGATGATGAATTTAGACTTAAGTTTATAACATCATGGAATAAAATGTGAAGGCTTGGCATGACTGATCAAAACAAACAAAAATTCAATGGAAAAGAAGTTCAGCAAGATGGAGATTTCCATAATTATACTCAGGAAGTTTTCAATAGACCAGACATGAAAGAAAAATTTATAGTCAAGATAATCTTGCATTTATACCTATTATTCTCTTCTGCTAGTTTACACAGTGCATGGGTGATCTCAGCACAGGCAAGAATTGCCCCATGGCGTGTGTGCAGATCTGTGCCCACTGATAAAGGTAGAAGTCTTGGCAAAACTGGAAGAGATTAAATAATTTATTTTTTTTTAAACATAGTGACAGATCACAGTTCTAAATGTAATCATGTCTGCCTAGAAATAACATGGGAAAACTATTTCTGGAAAGTCAGGCCAATATATTCTGGCCATTATATGAAAACCAAGTTTTAAAAAGTAAGTAAATTCTGACAAAGCATACTAACCCACACCAAGAAATTTTGTACTCGCAACTACCTCCCTGTTTGGAGTAAATAAAACAACGTACTTGCTATTAGGCATTGGGTTGGCTGAGCGGTAAGGGAAATAAGGCTTGTACTTCCATGGAATTTTACTTCCTTGTAAACTGCCACCTTCCTAGTCCACTATAGGGAGCCTAGGTAAGATCTGTAACTACAGATTCACCTGGATGTCAGCTGCTGTCTTTCAGCCATATTAAAAAGCAGCTAGTACGTCCTCAGAATCTTGAGTGGGCCGAGCAAAGGATCCTGAATTCATGCTAAGAAACATTTGATTACACACACAACAGTCAAAAAGGAATTCTTCTGAAGATGTCAGACTGGACAAGACAAAACAGATCCCCCCACCCTTTACGACATCAAAGCCGTATCAACAAAGCAAAAGCTAGGAATTTGAGGACTAGCTGCCTGAATTGTTGCAACAGAACTACACCCATTTATTCATCTCGGAACTGGTAGGGTCCAGTGTAGCCAGATAACTGAAGTCCAGTTCCCAGATAAAAAAAGATCTGGCAGTATTTCATAATTTTTGCATAAAATCTGAAAACTGGTAAAGCTATTAGTGTCACTACACTGTATTAAGTTGCAGGGGAAATCTTAATTTTTATTAAGTCATGGTGCATGTTTAAATCTTCTCAATACATTTTTGCTACATAAACTAGAATGCTTGATATGGCACGCTATGCAGAACTTTTGTTACTTACCCACATTTGCCATGTATTCAGGAGCCCGTGGAGTAAGGTGATGCAGAGCTTTGGTTGAAAGTTCTCGAATAACACTGAAGATGTAAAAAAGCACTTTGGGATTTTTTTGGGTTAGCAATTTAGTAGAAGTAATGTATTAAAAAAAATAACGTCAGGAAGGGACTCCTGTCCCCAACCAAAATAAAGACACCAGCAATATTAAAAATTACAACAGTCTCTGTCCATCCTATGCTTCCCCCCTCAAAAAAAGCCAACAAAACAAAACAGTGGACCAAACAGACAGCCTACAGCTAGCTTTTAGCTATATGAATAGAACTTATTGCTGAAAGAGACAAAGAAAAACATAAGTGTGGATGGTAGAACCTGAGGGCTCATTCTGTGCATTGGCAGGGACACTACAGTAAACTATTATTATTTCTCATGATGCAAACTATTATCAGCAATGATATAATCTCATTTGCGTTATATGTACACATTTTAATCTTCATGAACACTGAATATGACTAAGCACCATCTCTATGCATGAAATCTACTTAAATTATGATAATTGTATGGTGATGGTGTTCACCCCTCACATACACTATATATCATATAAATTGTGTTTTATTAATCTATGAACAGATTGAGGTCATGGCAAAAAGACAAAATTCATAAACATGTTTTAAGTGACAACATGCCAGGGAGGTATAGATGACATCAGCTACTACTTGTCCAGTTTCCTTCAGTCAAATGCTATTGCAAACTCTAGTATAAGTAAAATTTACAAAAAGCATCTAGGAAAGCATGATACGAAGAACAGTCAATTCCTGGATCTTAATAATTAGACTTTATGAACTCACCTATCCCAGTGGTTAATCTTCATGTTAACTAAATGATCAATCATTGGCTGTGTATACTCAGGAAAGCCAGCAATATAGACACTGAAAAAGAAGTATCCATATAGAGAGAGTACAGAATCAACATCTGTGTGCATTTTAACACAAGCTACTCCAAAGTTGATTTAAATCCTCTAGATTTAAAGCAACCAAAAAGATTACTTAAACATGCCTTCTCCTAAATGAGACACAGCTGAATAAAATAATACAATAGGAACTATTTTACAATTATTGAAAAAAAATTAAATCACTTTTGTAGAACTTTCAGATTCTTTATAAAAAGTACTATACATACAAAAAGCTTGACAGCAATGAAAAGCAAAAATAAACATTCAATTCCCATTGCTACATTCTAGAAAATCTAGATGTGCATATTAACTTATACAATTATTTCAGATTGGAGAAACGTATTAATGATGTAATCCACAGTACACAGTAAAATTAAGTTACAGAAATGTGCTACATCTTCATAAATACAATGGTCCAAAATTGAATGTGGGTTTTCAATTTGTCCTTTTTAAAAAAATCAATCATACACAAAAAGTCAATTCTGACAAAAAAATGTTAAAGCTGCAAAGTCAAGACCTAAGATGTAAGGGAACACCAGAATCAATTAGCTAGGTAGCCTGCATAATTACCTAACTTCACAGCCACACTTGCTTTCCAATCTTCAGAAGCATCAACTACTGAAAGCTGAGGTCAACAGAGGTTAAGTGAAATGTTTTTTCAGTACATCTGATGTATGTTAAATAATCTTGGAAAGCTAAACAATCAGTAGAATGTGTTTGTGTCAAAACGGCATGCACAAAGGGACAAAATTAAGGACACATGGATTACCTTAATTTCACCTTTTTGTATCTTCTGAGCAATTAACTTTGCAACCATAATAGTGTTCCATTATATATGTGTGTGTAATTAGAAGCAAAACAAAGACAAAAACCAAATACTGTTGCATGTTACCATACTGATATCTATGTAATTCATCAGAAGAGTAGGAATCCTTAAGTCCACAGCACAGACCTCAGTCAGTTGAGCCAATACAGGATATAGAAGTACTATCTACTACTGCTATGAGCCCTAGAGGGGGATTAGACAGTTGGTTTAACTGGTTGTTGATGCCAGCAGAGAAATGATACAATTCATTACTCTTTAGTTCCTTTCCCTGTTCTGGCAAAACAAACAATAATAGATACACTTCCCCTGCCATATTTGAGTTCTCCTCTCTTCTTTGTAGTTTGGGTCCTAGTTTTAGCACTCACCATTCTTTCCAACCATTTTAATCTGAACTTCCTTGCCCAGCTCATCAAAATTGATCTCTTGGGCCATGTCTGTAGCCCAATCCCACTTTCAGTTTTAGTTTATAACTATCTTCAACTACAGTCCTCATCTTTTGTACCCTACTGAGTATTTAATGCAAGTAGCCTTGGATACAAGTCTAGCCTTCCTGATAATGTTGCTGATAAGATTTTTGTATCCCACTCTACTTAGATTAAAAAGCTTCTTCCTTAACTCTGCTTTTACCAGAACTCCTGGAATCACATAATCTCTTTACTCCCAGTTCATACAAAATGGGTTTCCTCTACCTTCCATCCTCAGAAATAGATTATGATATTTGAGCTGAATCCTCCAAAGAACATCAGCAAAAAGTTTCAGAAGGGCACCCAGTTTGAAAAATTTGCATAAAAATACTTAGATTTGAAAGGATATAAGCAACTATTTATATATACACATATATATGTCATATTTATATACAAAAATATATATGATACTGCCTCTCTACAAGAATATATCATCATTTATTAACCAAAACCAAATTCAGCTGTAGAAATTGACACATCTTTTTTGGGCTTTTATTGCTCAAAGGAATCTAGTAGTGCCAACCTTCACACCTGCACAGCTTCCTTTCACATAGCGGCATTATGCTGGCCTACAAAGTGTCCCAGGATTGTTTTATCTGGGTGGAGGAAGGACAGCTAAAGATTCTAGATCTGGAATATGAACCTCAAGCAGCTTTTTCCAACTACAGAAACAATTACACCACCTTAAGGCATACCGATCAGAAAGGTCCATTCTTCCTACCACATCATAATGATACGTGTTTTCTGCACAGCCAAATATATGCTTATGGACTTTTCCTTTGATGTTACTCAGACAAAAATAAGGAAATAATTAAGTATTGACCCAAATAATTATATCCTGCTTGAAGAGCAAAGTGGTGAAGATTTTTAAAAGTAATATAATGAATGAGATGACAAATACTTTACAAAGAAGAGTTTGATTAATAACACTGAACGTGGTTTCAAGGAATAATGCTATTAACTGCATAAGATTATTTATAAAGAATTCACAAATTTATTCTTTCTGTTGCACAATTTAAAGAAAGGCACAAGAGTGGAAGAAAGAAATCAACAGTAAAAATATTTTCACTTAAATAATAATTTAATTAAATAATTAATGAATTAACAATTCAGCTCTCAAAAAGTAATAAGAACATAATTAGTCTCCAAGCTGAAATTATAAAAGACAGAAAATAAAAACTGCTTTGTGAATTTTGAGTATTTTGAATTTTCTACTAGTACGAAAAGCTAGAGTTTCCAAAATCACATTGACGCCACATGGATCTAGAGCAGCATCGAATACCACGCCACTGCATTTCCTCATCTCAGCTCAGTAGGCAGGAGCTCTGGGGAAGAGAGGCTCTGGGGAAGAGTGTAGGAGGAGGGTGTGGACCCCAGAAGGAATGACAGTAGGAACGACAGTAGGTAAAAGGTGAAGATATGTACAGACTGAAATGATTATGCACAAAAAGGGACAATATGGAGGTGGACAGATTAATAAAAAAAATACTTGAGGAGAGGATAGAAGGTTCCAGTGCAAATTATCTTAAAAAACTGCTCATTGGAAGTCACAAAGTGGAACGGAGCATATAATCTCTTCAAGCCTTTCTAACCTGTTGGCTTCTGAGCAACGTGCAACTCCATAGGGCAATTTATCTTAGCTATCTTAAAATGGTCTGAATCACCTTCTGTAGGTGCCTGTCTCTTTGCATTGGCTATGGAGAGAGGCTAGACACCTAGGCTAGACTGCCTTAGACAACTAAAGCTAGAACCCAGCCCTCAGTCTTTTTCATCTTCTCATGAGGAAGTGCAATCTTATGTTCATTTTAGTCATCCTGTGCACCCAGCTTGCCTCTGAATTCCCCTGACTTCAGCATTATTGTATTTTCAGATAGCTGACTGGAACAGAACACAGTATTCCAAGACAAGCCACTGATTTATAACAGCACCACATCAGTTTTGGTATTTCCCATTACATTCTTTGCAGGCTCCATACTGCAGCGATCAGTTTGTTTTTTCAAACGCTACTGCATACTGTGGTTAGATTTTCACTGAGCTATCTATGAAAAATATAAGCACTCAAGTTAAAGGTCTATGCACAGACCACAAATTCAACAACTTGTGCAAAGTATTTTTTTAAATGGCTATTAGTTTACTTTTTTACCCACATCAGAGTCTATCTGCCATCATAACAGCCTCTCCTTTTACTACAACTCTTCAAAATCCGCTAGTGTTCTCTAATCTTGACCAACTTCGACAGTTTTGTGACACCTGCAAATATTGCCTCTTGGCTGCTTCCTCCACGTAGACAAGAAAATCACGGACACATTTTCACCATGTCTTATGCATAATAAGCAGTCTGATGCAGAAATAAGAAAAATCAAATTTTCATTTATTCAAAGCCAACAGTAATAAACATAATGTTCAGTAAGATGAAACAACCAGACAAATATTTCATTATGTAAAAGAAGTCCCTCATGTTCAGGAAAACTAATCCTTGGAAACTTACCTTATAGTCAGATAACAGTTAACTCTGTTACCAACAGCAAAATAATCAGCTGCAGTTAGAATGTCTATGCCATGTGGAAAAGTGCCCTACAAACATCATAGGGAAGAGGGAAAAAAATTAGAAAACGTTATTTAAAAATGTAAAATACTTTCCAAATAGGCAACATTATTGAAAACAAATCTCCTACTACTCTGCAAACACTGAAAAAATACAATTTAATTTCTAAGTTATAGTAAAATCACTTGTACTAAAGATATAAAGGATGTTGGATATATAAACAGCAAAATACCTAGCTTCACTTATGAGTGAATGATAAACAAAGTAAATAGCAGCAGGTAAAAAAAACCTATGCCATAGTTATCTTAACACCTTCAAGTCATGTCCAAATATATATTTGGTAAATGCATGACTATGTACATACACAAAAAAATGATTTATCTAAAAGAATGTTTAGATAAGTGTAAACATGCTTTCATTTTATGTGAAGGAACAAGTTATCTGCTGTGAGTTTTATGAGGTATAAAATTGGAGATTTAGGCACCAAGAAATGCATCACATGTAGAATACATGGGACTTCAGTTACTTCTATTTGTTTCTACTTACACAAATATTTTATGACTTATTTATTAATGAACTACAAAAGTGGGGTTAGTTTGTTCGTTTTTAAAAAGAACACTGGTGCCCAGCAAAGCCTGAAATGTTGAATCCTACAGAAGTGTCACACTTGTGACATCACTGCTCAAAAAATTGTTTTTAGAAAATAAATTATCTTTCTAAAAATGCAATTGCCACCTAAAAATTTGCCTTTTATATAAGCAATACAATTCAGATATTCAGAATTTTGATTGGCTATGACTGATTTAATACAGTATTACACAGCAGGGCTGTGTTTTGGAACGAAGGAGGCAACATAGCCTCCACAAGCCATAATTAAGTACAAATGGAAAACAGCCAACTGAAAGACACTACACTCACTTACAAAAGGGACAATCATATGATATTTAAGCAATAAGGCTATGTGGAAGTACAGGTTCTGGATATGATACAGTTTTGTTTGTTTACAGCTCACTCATCCCTTCCACATTAGGATACAGCCATGCAAAAATAGTAGAAAATATCTCTAGATCTAAGCCTGAATAATTGAAGAAGTATATATTGCAAGCAGTGGGAAGTTGTCAGCTACTGTGGAGGTCTTATTCTGGGAAGCATAATGCCAACAGTCCAAAAAAACAAGGCCTGGAATCTGACTGAACCAAGAAGGATAGACAGAATATTTATGGCTTATCCAAGAGACTACCTGCAAGCCCTAATAATGGTGAAATGAATGTACTCTTCAAAAGCCTAATGAAACACTGATTAGGGATAAAAATGCACACATGAGAAATACCTCAGTATGATTTATAGCCAAACAAGACGACATACAATTAAATATGTAAGAATGCATACTGTACATAAGGACAATCACAGCTAAACACTTTCAATTCTAGCTCCTCGTTGGAGCTTGCTATCTATTACTTGGCTGTAAGTGTGCCAATTTGATGCCATCTCACCGAAGGTCACGGTGCCGCAGTGCGTGTCAGTGAGACAGCAAAATTCCTGAAACCAAGTTCAAGAGTACAGAGGTCATGGCTGACGGGAGAGACAGACTTCAGAGGAAAAGCTAACAGTTTCTATTCTGTCAAAACACTTAAAACTTACTTCTCCAATATAAAAGTTTGTCTTAGTAGAAGTATGTGCATGTCTCATGATTTATGCTTAAAAACAATTCTTCAAAATTTTCAAAGTTCTCATTCACATAAAGTGTAAGTTACAATGGCTTCTTTTTCTGAGGCCATAAAAGCAAGCTCTGGGATTCAGAACATGTTGAATTGCGAAGGTGAAGCAGGCAGGAACCAGGAAGTAAACGAGGTCAACTTTTTCCTCCACCTATTTAGTACCAGCATTGTTACTTCTGATGGAGAATATGTTTTAGCTCCTTCCAATTCAGAGAAAGGGTGTCTCTTTCAACACATTACATCCAGGTAAAGAACTACAGAGGGTGTATCCACTGATTAAGTAACCATTTTCCTAGGCAGTAAGGAATGGTTCAGTAAGTAAAACTTCTGAACTTCTACAGGAACCAAATGGAGACTGATAGCATTCTTCACGCCATGAAAACTTACTATTTCTCTGCAAACTCCTCTTTAACATGCCGACATATAAAGTAAAATTGTTGTGTGTTCTACCAACACTGACAAATTTGAATCTTGCATCAAAGCAGAATCAATAAGCAAACTTTCTGGTTGTAAACTAACTTAGACTATACCCCTCTGATTAAGAAATACAAAACTCCACAAGACTTTTGCTACATGGAAGCATTTCTAAACCTGCAGCACCCAGGAGCCCTATCTCACCTGGAACTGAAGTCACAGTAAGGGGTTTACTTCATTCAGTACCTCATGAAGTGGAATCAGGCTGAGTTGCTGTGAGATGACTAACCTCTCCAGGGCAGTAACTATAGACCCAGGGAAGAATCACGCTGGCTTCTACTTATCACAGACTCAGTTGGGTCAGGTCACCAAAAATACCTACCCTCTTCCTCTTAGTCTTCTTGCACTCTTTCTCTGCTATTAACCTAATTCTATGTAGAAATACATACACCAGTTACAGACACGTTGCTTAATACCTGTAGCTCTAAAGGAGTAATATCCCAGCTCTTAACGCAGAGATCTTCAGGAATGGTATCAGGGAAAGCGAGACAGCATTTTAACAAAGATCCCTTAAAGAATAGCTTATTGATAACAAAATTTGCTTTAACCATGCTCACATGCCCCCCTCTGTCACAAGAACCCCTGAACCATTCCCCCCCCCCCCCTTTTTTTTTAAACTCTTTCTTCCCCTGTATAACATTACTTCCAAAAACACCCTGAACCCACCCCCCCCCCCCCCCTTTTTTTTCCTCGAAGTTGTATATTCAGCTTTATTAGTTCCTGATGAGAAACCAGGAAACTTTGAAATCCAAGTCTTTACCCTATTTGCTTCTTCTCCAAGGTTGCAAATCAAAGTTGTTTGAGCATTTTAACTACTTAAATGTTGCTAAGTTACATAGGAACCTACCACAATACTTTTTATCAAAGCACTTAAGTACCTCCAAAAGTAACAGATTTCTCAAAATATCTAGATGGTAGTATTACTGTACAACAGGCAAAACCAAATACTGAGTTAAAGACTCTTAAGCCTAGTTCATTGTTGTATCACCAACCACAGCAAAGATTGTGCAGCACACTTCAGCTGTTCCACTACTATTGAAAACTAGAAAGTCAATGAAACAAAAGAATAACAAAAAAAAATGCTCTTTTCCTGCTTTAAGAGCGTTACAGTTTGCAAGGTGTGTAATGGCCATCATACATGCTGATTTTGCTTTTCAGAATGAATTAAAATTACCAGAAAGCTCACTGTCTCCAAAACTAGAATACTAGAATAAAACTCACATCTCAGAAAAGTATTCCACAAGAACCTGTTTGCTGATAACAAAAATAATTACTTTGTGACATCCTTTTACTCAGTTTCTCTGAAGCCACAGCATCTAATTTTGATTTTAGGTACTACACGTTTACAGTAACCTCCAAGGCACTAATGAATGAAGATTCAGGAAAGTTACCATACCTGTCTCCCAACATTCTCCTGGAAGGCAGCCTAAGGAACAGAGAACAAACATACCAAAACGAGTCAGGTTTGCTTTTTGATAAACACCAGATGATGAATTCAAAACACACAACAATATAAATGACCCATGGCTTTTCTTTTTTAAATAAAGTAAGCTTTGTCAGTAGAACAAGCCCACAGGGCTTTTTTGTTTCTGCATCTCTATGTTCTGGTGTTCTTAAAGCTGTATGTTGCATGACAGCAGTTTAAGAACACAAGTTTATTAAACTAGTCACACCTGCAAGAGTGCTTTTGAGTAGTGACACAAGGCTCCACGCTGGAATTGAAAGTTAATACCCGTAGACAACAGAAATTGAGATGGCTCACTTTTGTCTGACTACTTCAACATAATTTGCTAATAGTAGGCAAAGTTTGATTCTTTGTAAATGAAAACTTCTGACAAAAATTACTGAGAATGCAATACTTATTTGAAAGATACACATCTGAAAGCATGCTGAAACACTGAAATTATAAAACCGGAGGACAAAATTAATGTATGCTTCTTGTGTTTTGCATTAAATAAACTCAAAATCTTGCAAAATACAACGAATACAACCATAAAGTTACTCTCTCTACTTGTATGGTATACAGAATAAAACCTACTTAACTCCCTACTTGAATTTTCTCCCTCTCTCAAAAAAGCCAATTATTTTTTGTTCATTAAAAGGATATACAATCGTAAGTACTAATAAAAACTTCTGTAAATTTTCACTCTTTTCAGAGGAGAGATCATCATTATCTGGACACTTCTCTTAGGGAATGTCACTCTGTATACAAACACAAATCTCCAGCGATGGACAGCACTTGTCACCTGACAGTTAACTGATATTTAACATACAGGGAGGAAGTCCCAATCTTTACTGAAAATGCCACAAGAACTTTGACAGACAGAGCTTCTGTGTTTCCTACATAAATACAGTACCATTGTGGTAATCCACCTGTAAAAACAAAAGGTTACGTTAGCTCACCAAGGTATCATACTCTACATATGGAGCAAGCACTCACAGAACACAGGTGAAGCAAGCCCTAATGAAGTCAGAGTCTCTTAGTGCATTTCTGAGGTTATGTCTGTTTAGGATAATGACTGCAGTTCCTGTAGACTTGCCCAGGCTAGTTCAGCTCCTGCTCACAGCTTATCCATTGCAGGACACGTAGCACAGGCTGACTCTAAACCGCTCACCCACCACCTTGGCGGGATTTGGAGCCCACCTTAGCCTGCTCGCAGTTGCAGCCACACTGCCAGCAGTGGCCCCGAGCTAACCAGTTCAGGATTGCCTTGGGTAGAACTGCATGGGCTGTCCTCCGCAGTGGCAGCAGCGTAGGTACGCCCTTGGGCAACACATAAAGCAGTCTTCCAGAACAGGAACATGAGCTGTAGCCATGCCCTACACTTGTTCTTTATTGTACGCTGTAGCCCAGCTTCTGACATGGAGGTTTTTCACTCCTTACCTCTCTACCAACATACACTCCCAGCCAGGACATCGTTTCATGTCACCCTGCATCATTTATTTCTTTTTACATACATGTTAGCTTTAGATCCCCTTTTATGCTATTGAGACCCTTTTACTCAGTATAGGGAGGTTTCAGCAAGGATGACACTCTCAGCTATTGTATCCAAGGGATTTAATAGTTTAATCACTGCACTACAATTTATTTTAAAAAGGTACTGCTCAGACAAGTGCCTTACTGATACAAAAGCTGTAAAGCTTTTTTTTTTTCCCCCCTTCTTTTTAAATCGGAAACTTCGATATCCAAATAATGTAAGCCTGGTCTCAAACCAGTGAAAGTTTTATTCTACTTACAATACATCTGTAGGCCCAGGACTGAAATATACTGTGGCAAAATCATTGGAAAAAGATGTATAGGGGCCTATAGACAATGTTGCAGCAAAACAGCTATTGTACATAAAGATTTCACAGGGTTTGTTTACTTAATGTAGGAATTTTAAAATTCCACTGCTGTATCACTATTTAATTTTCTAACTTACTTAGAAAAACAATCATGAAGACCTAAGAAATAGTCCAGCAGCATGGCAAAAACACTTAGCATTCATCTGATGTATGCTAAGCATCTAATTTACATGTTAATTTACACCTAATTGATTAGTTTATCTATAAAAAAACCATACAACTTGTAAGCAGTGGTTAAAGGATAGATAATAGTATTGCCTTACTATAAATATATTTGTCAATTATTTCCATTTAATAGCCTTGGAGAAAAATTATCAGTTTGTTAATAGATTCTCACGCTTGTGTTATGAATTCACAATTCATAAAAGTAAGAAGAGAAATATGGTAACTAGGAAATTCCTGTATACATAGCCTAGTAGCTACAAAATTTTCCAGTTGCAGACTAAAACTGTATAGTAAGTTGTTTCACAGCCGGTTGCTTAGGTTGAGGGAGGTTCGTAGGCATCCCCACGAACCTCTCAACTTCAGCATTGCTGTTGTGCATTTTAAAAAAAAGCTAAAAGGTGCCTCTTCTGCAAATAAGTTTTCAGCCAATTTACAACGAAAACCAAGATATTAAAACAAAACCAGAAAAAGCCCTCAAAGGAATGTAAAAACAGAACCCTAGAGTGTTTAGAGTTATATTTGGAAAATTTCACCACTGATTTAAGAAGGCTTTGTAGACAATGCACGTTCCAGCTGTGATGACTTAAACACATTACTGTTCTAGGAGAACAGCATCTAATCCCAATTTTAGCAACAAAAATGTGATATGGTAAATTATTTTTCCTGGGTGTGAAGGAGTACATTGCATAGAAGAAGTCACAAGGAAAACCTTCCCCACAATATTATTTCGTTAAAGCTTTGTGAGAGAAAGCAAAATAGAAATATGAAAATAATGAAACATATTGTTCATCCAAGTGAAAAGGCAATTTTCTAGAGCTCATTTAATGTTGACAGAATTCCCTCCTTGTTCCTTTAGCACTTTTGTTTCACCAAAGATTTTTCTTCAAAATACTTAGGAGATTTTCAATAACCGAAAACGTTACTATTTCAGTCATGCTTTCAAATAACTGCAAATTCCTAAAAGATGCCAAATATTTCAATCGTTTTGTAATAATAATTTTTCTTTTTTCATACAATCCCCTTCTGGAGATGGAAAAATTGGATGCAAAGATCTTAATTTCAGGATTCAATGGTATCAGAACCAAGATGACCAACTAGCCATGTAACCTGAATCTTTGCTGTTCCCACAAAAACTGAAAAAATATTAAAACATTCTCTAAGTCATGATTTTAAAAACTATCAACCAACCAAAAGGAAAAAAAAAACCCTCTCTTTAACATGTCAGAACTGAATGAAGCCCAATCCGAGATCACTTATTCATGTGATTATTCCTTATAATGATTATTCATGAAAGAGTTGCACAAGTCAGCTCAGAATGCTTTTGGAGCTTCAAAAGAAGTGTCTTGTTTTATTCTGTCTAACCTCAGGGTTCAAAATATCTCTATATGCTATTTTGTTTTATTGGTGCTCTGCATTATAATATATTGCATATTGTAATAGATGGAAAATCTAGTAAAACGTGTTTATTTAAATACGTATTTAACTGTAGTAATGATTGGAAATAATTAGGACTCTCAGGTATTTTTCTTCAAAACTGTAGTAATGCCCGGTAAACACAAAATATTTCCTTGCCTGCCTTTCTAAAATAAGAAAAAAGGTTTCAGTACTTTCATAACTATCCATATCAAAAGAGCAATTCCCAATTTTGACCAGCTCTAAATTAGAATGTACTAATGAAAAAACTGACTGGAGATAACTGAATTGCAGAATGCTCGATAGCTTGGTTTAAAGTAGAAGAGGAAAGTGAGAAGAAAATGTACTGTATTTTGTACTCATTTGAAATATGGAAGCATGATCTGCACTAAGCTTATAGCATTAGTAAATGTATCTGGTTTAGCACTATACTTCATGGTCAAACTATTGGTTTATGTTTAAGCATAGAAACATAATGAAGATTACACACGACAATTAGATCAAGCCACTAAAGGTAAGCAGTACACTTGTAGTGGCAATCATGTTAAAAAGAATTCTCCTCTTTATATATATTACCACTGATTCCTAGGACAATTCCTATAGAGCAAATAAATAATTCACTTTTCCCCGCCTACACTCCTTAATGTTTTGTGCAGTTCTCAGGAAAGCAAAGCTACCTTTATTTAAATAAAATCCTTAGAGGAAAACAAAGTGACTTAAATTAGCCAAGAATAGCAAATTCTACAGTTTCTAAAATTTAGGGCTTGAAGTTTGGGGGAAAGTAGCATTGCTCATATTCATCAGCTGTACAGTATGCGAAGAATATGTTATATCAGTACACAGTGATCTACAGCATCTTAGCTTCCATGCTTTGGTTTTAACCTATTTAGACAAAGTGATTTGTGATATGATTACACAAGCGACTGACTCACTTCCCCAGCAATTATGCTGCAGCTTCGTTCAACAGCTTAAACTCTCAAGCAGAGGTGTGGCTAGAAAAAATAAGGATGCTATCCAGGTATCCCTGAGAAATGTATAAATGCATTAGCTTTCAAAGTTTCAGTCAAAAAATAAGACAGACCTGTTAATTAATCTGCATGTTGCAAAGACTGCCTTTTTTTAAATGCATTCACAGTGAAGTTTATTCTTGGGAATAGAGACACCTGGTTCTTTGACAGACATTGTTTGGTCCTGTGTTTGAGTTAATACAGTTATAGGGTGGGGTTTTTTACATCTGTATAAGATAACTTGTTTTATCTGTTGAAACAGAAAAGTCATTCTTTTTTTTTTTTAGAAAGCAAGTTCAATATATACAACACACTGACTTAAATTCTTAAAGATGTCCATTCTTTATTTTTCTCAAATTCTATAACCTCTCCTCCATAAATTCCCTTCTCTTAAGAAAAATCACACATTCTTTTCAATTCTCAACTGCGTATTTTCTACAGAAAGGTTCCACAGAATATACTTTGGTGTCAGTCCTATTAACTAGATAACAATATCTGCCTAATGGATTTATCACTTTATTATAAAAATTCCCTGCCCTACGGAAAGAGTTTTGTACAATAACTGAAAATATGTTTGAAGGGGAGATGTTATTCTAGAAATTTTCAACATACCGCAATTACAGAGTAACAGTTAATGAACAATTAGAAAAGTATAACTTCACAAAACTTACCAGCTTGGTGACTTGAAAAAGATACAGTGTTTGTCTATTATGAATGACCCTTTTGTCTTTGATATTGTGACTAGAAAATGCTAACTAGCTCTTTCTTAGATAATTTATCTTATCCATCATGACAACAATACAGCAGATTGTGAACTGTGGCCATAAATCAAGATGTGGATCTGTGGATTGTATAATTTCAAATCTAAATTCACACCATACTTCTAAGGATTTAAAAAAGCACTTTTTTGCTCACAACACAATATATTGCTTATATACTGTGGTTCTACATAGCTAAGCCTACAAATTATTAAATTAAATGAAAACAAACAAAAAATAACAAACATATAAGCTACAATGTGGTAACTTACAGAAGCAGCTCTTCTGCAATTAACATCACGATCAAATACTGCAGCAATAACCAATGCACTGAGGAAATAAAATATTGAGTATTAGTACCAAAAATATGAGAAGAAATGCGTAACGCCATCATTTCAACATTTAGACTTCTAAGCAGAACACACAGCATTTCCTCTAAGGAAAAATTTCTAAACTAAAATTTGAGTTGAAATAACCATGTACTTCCTCGTTTCTGTAGTTTGCTGTGGACATTCCATAGCATAAACAGACAACTACCATCCTACTGTATCAAAGCAATTCAAGAAGTATGCAAATATCTTTAACTGCATAGAAAGGTTTTCTATTTTAAATATAGCAGGAGTTTAAAACTTGGACATAACTATCATCTCTAATGTGAGACTCATACAGTGCAATTTTAAATTAAAATAGCCAAATGCACAGCAAGTTTTATGTAGGGCTTAAGCAAAACTAAAAAGTTAAGCAATGGAAACTTGCAGCTATCTCTACAAGAACAATCACATCCTGTAAGTAACAAAAAAAATCAGAAAACGATATGCAAATCCTGCTAAAAAGTGACCTGCAAGATAAATTGCAAAGCAGTTTTTTTAAAAAGGTGACCTGGATATACAGATGCAAAATTATACAAAACTATTTCTTTGTGCATGAAGTCTAGTAACCCTGCACAGTTTAATTCTTCTACCCCAAAAGAACTGCTTTTAAAAGATGTGCTACACAACAGAAGAGAGAGAATATATCCCAGGACATGGAGTCTACAACTTTAGAAATCCACCTCCAGCATTCAATTAACTTCAGTGACAAATAAACATCACTTCAGGAGAATCATTTAAGCAGAAAATTATTCCTTTCAAACTCTAAAACTCTTCATTACATTATTTATTGACTCCAGGCAAAACAGGAAATAAATACTGGCTAAAAAGTAAATCCACGATAGCTTTGCTTTAGCATAAAGCTATTAATTACACTGATAATATCAAACTTCCCTGGGTAGTGGCTATCAGTTTCCTACAGTGAAGAATACTGTGGTGTTAAAATTCACTGAAATGCACAATCAATGTTGCCTCTGTAATTTCAGTTTACCTCCATCAAGGAAAACAAGAGACAGAAAGCAAGAATGAAATGAAAATAAATCCCAATAAATTGTTCTAAAGACAGTTAATGCTTTCTTATTGCTACTCGCATGAGCAACTCCTCTCTCTGCCACAAAGACATTAGTTGATTATAAGACAAAAGGAGGTCATCCAAACAATAGCGATCGGAAGAGCAAATGTTTAGGAAGCATTCCATTAGAAGTAGCATACATGGCTAACTGTTGAAAAAGTGCTGGGTCAAATACATCATCTTCATACCATGTTTGCTAATTTTCTTCTCTGGCATACAGAGAAACTTAAAAATCCTTTTAAAAGGATGACATGAACAGCTCCCATAAATCTTTTAATTATAGAAGAGAACATTCAAAACTAAGGGATTGGATGAAAATCATCCTGGAAAGCAAAAAGAAGCCAATTTCTGCCTGATGTTTCTGATTATATGGACTACAAGATAAAACATTATTTTGTGACTTATGCAGTATTTCAATATTGTTCTCTTCTGAGAAAACAAAAAAAAAAACCCCACTCACCAAAAAAACCCCTCATCAAGCCAGGAAACTCAGAATCTAGAGTGTTGCCCTTACTGTGTCAAAGGTACCCTGAAGTTACGTGTTACAGAGTATTTCAAAAGAGCTGTGCTGGGTCAGACCAAAATCCTTCCAAGTCATTGCCTTGTCTCCCACAGTGACCCAAAAGGGACGCTTAGGGATGAGTGTAAGGACATACATATTGAATGTTAACATACTGATTTATGCAGTCTTTTCAACTGGCAATGTTAAAAGACCATTACTGGAGAATAAATACTGCTCTTTGAATTTCATATTTAGACTTAAAATGTGGTTTATTAAATATAATGGAAAACAGTTTCAGGTTATTATATACAACAAGAGTTCAGCTTATAATCAAATTGTGCTTTTCCATTTTTTCTTATTCTTATGTTACCTTAAGACAAACCCGTATAAGTAAAACCAGCAAAACAACATACTGTCTATGTGATGCCACCCGAGTTATTCAGTGCTGCAACTGAATACCATGTTTAAGAAAAACAAAACAAAAAAACCCAGGAATTTTGTCATTGCCCCCATAGCCTCATTATATTCATAAATCATACTGTAGTCACTGTTTTATGTTAATCCTTTTAATAGAAGTGTTTTAAACTTATCAAACTACATGAATAATTTTTTCAAGCTAATTCCTATTTGAAAATGCAGGCACAGTCTGCTGTAACACAGGGATTAGCAAGGAAAGCAACATGCCTAAGATGAAACATGTCTAAGGTGTCTTCACCTGTCTGCTTTGTCGTGGGAGTTTATGTGATACTCCACCAAGATTTCCTAACATAAAGAAACTGTTTATGTCAAACAAAGTGGGATATTTTTTTAAGCTAGTTAAAGAATCATGTCTTGACTTGCCCGAAATGTACCACACCTGACTACTAACAGGTAGAGCAAAGAAAGGCTTTGCATCTTGCAGTCTCTATGAAACACATTTTGTAGTTCCTTGAGGTATATTTAGCCTGTATGCACGACAAGCAGTTAAGTGTACAACACACGCAAACGGACTTTAAAAAGCAAGTTGCAATTCTATCAGTCAACTAATAGTTCTCCCTTTCTTCCCTATCCCTTCCCCTCTCCCCTAACTACTCACTTAACTGGCTTCAGGGAAAGTTAAAAGGACTCAAAATATGTTAGCGGCTCACCTCCTCAGCCCAACACCGATCTCATTACCTTCCCCCGACAAGGCAGAAAGAATCAGAGAGCAGAGGCCAGCCAGGTGACAGACATCAGAACACAGAAATATCAGAAATATCAGGTTACCCTTTCCTTATAAGCACCAGATGTACCAGACAATAAATCTGAATTTCCTTTATCACCTGTAGCAGGCACTTCTAGTCTATACTAGTCACAAGCAGCAAGAAGCTTATCCTATTGCTAACCTCTGAGAATTTGCTACTATTAATTCAAGCATACCACCCTGAAGCTGCGGGAAGAAAAAAAATAAACTCTCAAACCTCTTGCCAATTTGGCACAAAACCAAAATTTCCTTCCTGAGCCCAAAAAAGGGAAAAGTCTAAGTTGTAACAGGACAGAAAACTCTCCTCCCTACTATACATTAGGGAAGGGAAGGCATAATAATCATCACAGGCAAAACGGTTTTGAACAATCCAAGCAAGTTAAAAAAAGGAGGCGAGACCAGAGTCAGACCTGAGTCTGTTGAGAGCTGCTGCTGCGGCAAACAGCCCTTTTTGCACCTCTTCAATCATGCCAGTACCCCAACTGGAATGGCTACACAGTGAGCTGGATGATGAAAAAGATCTAGGCTCAATTAATTTTTCTTTTGCTAGCTTTTTTTTTTTTTAAACCAGAGAAGCTCCCCCATTCATTTTATCACATGTAGCTGTGCTACGCCCAACTGCAGGAGCAACACAGGGGAAGGAGCAAGCAAAAGAGCCTGCTTCAGCCAGCACTGCTAAGCGAAAAAGCCCTTCAGACTACAGTCTCAGATTCAATTCCTCCTGTTTATCTAGGCAAGGAGAAGGTCTGAAGAAAAGGAGAAATGCACTTCTACACTGCATACTTTCACAGTCCCTCTAACCCAGCTCACATCGAGCTCTTACACTTCCTGCTAGCCATCCAACATCCTACACTGTTCAGTGTGTTACTCCAATCCCAAAGTTTTGGAGTAAAATGATGTAAGTATAATAAATACACATGTAGAAAAGAGCGATAAGAAAAATGCTTAGAACACGAGTTACAAATGCTGCTATTAAAAAAAAAAAAAGAAAAGAAAAAAAAGGCATATGATGCCCCTGCAGGAAATAACTTTACACAAGTGCAAGACACAGTAGGCACACAACTCTCTTCTGAAGGCAACATTCAAATACATAAAAGAAGAAAGCTATTCTCAATATTTCATCATGGTACAAGATGTAGCTCAAAGCAATGCTTCAGATTTCCCCAATTCTGCAGGACAATCTTGCCCTGGAGCAAGCTACATCATTCATCCATAGCCACACCTTCCTTTTTTTTTTTCCCCTCTTCAAAAACAACGCACCACCGCAGGGAAGACAAAGCCGCCTGCACTCCTACACTGTACGCACTATTTGTATTAGTATTCTGCTGAACGGGAGATAGCAATTAGATCTTTCTAAATAACGATTCATTTATTGATTACCTACACCATTGAATGACAGATAAATGAAACTACATTCTGACTATGCAACAGTTCCAAATAATTAAGATAGCCAGCAACAATTTAATCACTATAATTGTATAATAGAGTAGAAGTATGTTTTCCTTTTTATTTTTTGTTTAGGTTTTAAACAAAACAGCTCAGCTTCTTAAGTGTGCACCTGCCACTTTACAGACAGTAACTTCCACACCCAAGGGGGCAGGAATCAAATTACCCCTACTTCCAAGTTACTAAATTATGTTTAACTTTCCTCATAGGTAAGCTTAAAAAGACAGCATGCATGTAGAGACTGGGAGAGAAAAAAACCTCGGTCAAGTAGTGCTTTTATAAAGATATGCTTGAATAGCAACTTCAGTACATGCATTTCAAAACGTAGTAAGGTTAACCTGCAATAAAAGCGAAGTTTCATCTACTTTGCCAAGAATTTTCTTTTTGTGGTCCTGTAGTTTGAATAGATCAGGCAAGGCTTTAGAAACCAGTTTAACGAGACTTTAAAAAATAAATAAGCAAATGTGAGTAAGTGTATCTTGTTGAAATATGGATAGGGAAAAAATACTGGCATGTAAAAATACAAGCAAGTACTATCAGAAATACTCTCAGGCGAGTATTTCTAATAAGTGTTCTCTATCTCCCCCCCCCCCCTTAAAAGAAGAGTGTTAAGGTCAGGAAGGAAAAGGACTGATCTATGATCTACAGCAATTAAGTTTGTAACTTCAATATTCTGATAATTTCATCACTTAATAACAGAACATTCGTAAGAAAGCAGAGAAAAAACAGCTATCACTGAATATGGAGACAGATATTTCTTTTAAAACAGTCAAATTTTACGAAAAAAATATGATTTTATGCAGTTTAAGGTGATTTTTTACTAGTCAAAAGTGAAATACTTATGTCCCTTGACTACTGAAAACAGAGAAAAAAATGTCTTTCCATTACATGATGCTACAACTTCGCAGGCAAGAAAAGGAAAAAAAAAACCCACCACCAAATTACCCCTCTCCTTTAATTTGTAACTACTGTACCACAGTCTGAATGGGTTGTGGGGCAGGACCCAGTTTAAGTAGCATACTACTTCTGTATTTTGGTACCCAAGTGAGTTTCCCGACAAGTTACACTAACATGTGCCAAAGGCCATGACATGAAGTAGGAAGACATGAAGCAGCTCACTGTTTAACTCAACAACTTCTAGTTACCACCAGTGCGCTTGCTCTACCATGATGACCGCCTTGCCTTTCAAGTCTGAGTGTAGCAACCAGCTACTTGTGCTTCAAGTTCAGCATTATCTGGATTCCTCCAGCCAGTTAAACAGCAGTGTTAAAGACCATGAATGAAGGATTAAATCATTTGCAATTTCTAGCACCAAGACAAAGCAAACAGTTCAGGATCTCAATCACTCATTACATTTTTCTAAGGAGGTAGTATCTTCCTTTCAGGTAAACGATTTATTATTTTTCTATTAAGAATCTAATAGTTTGTGTTCTTATATAGGCAGATGTTTTTGCTGTGTAATTCAGTTCACAATGGGTATTATGTACTTTGTTTCAAGATGCTGAGTTCTGCATTTTTTAAGGGTAGCAACAATTTGCTTGTGGCTAGAAGTATGACTCTTCTTTAAGTAAAACAGTGACACACCTAAGGCTAGATTTAAAAAAAAAGCTGTATGTAATTATCGGCTTGCTGACACAATAGGTGAAACTGTGTGTCATACTTTATTTGAATATTTTTTTTCACCGTTTCTCTTTGGAGTGGGAATTCTACCTTCAAGAGTTGATTATATTTAGAAAAGGTATGGCCAACAAAACTACAAAGATTCTTAAGTAAAGCCTTAATATAGCGTTAATACTTGCTAAAATACCGTGTAGCTTTGTTAGAAAACGAACCATATACAAACCACAACACCTTACAACCGATCATAAGCAATTTTCAGCTTCCCCCTTGCCGTCCACCCTGTGTTTCTCTCCACTCCACCAACTCATTCCAACCAATTGAAGTTGTCGTAGCTGGCAAAGCCACAGTGTTAATTGGTATTACTACCATAGGTAGAAGATATCAATTATTTTCACTTGACACTTTCCTAAAAAGAAAAGAAGAATTTTTTTCCAGAACAGTCTGAAAGCTAAAAGACAGGAGCTTCTTCAGAAACATAACCTCCTTCATACCTGTCCACAAGTTCCCACTAACAGCTTTGTGACAGTAAAACAAAATACCACAAACCATGAAAAATCAAAATGGTGAGCTTGCATCTAACGTATGAAGAACAACATTGTTTGGCACCATGGTAGGGTGAAAGGAGTAAAAGAAAGATATTGCTCAAAGCATCATGAGCAGAAGAAAAATTCTGATAAACAGAACAGATCTGAATTCTGATAAAAAGAAGGCTTACACACTCACACTTAGGCTTTTTTAAGTTTCACAAGGAACAAGCTTGCCAGACTTTAAAAGAAACCTTAAAGTTGTTCAACCAAGTCAGAGGATGGAAGCAGAGGAATTATTTTCATAAGGCAGCTGACCAAATCTGCAAAAAGCACCAGTTTTGAACAAGACTTTAATATTGGTATATGGCTATACTCATCCTGAAGATTTGTTTGCAGCAAGAATATAAATGTATTCCTGTGAGTTTAAAGATAGCAGTAAATAACTCTGCACAGCTGATAACAGCCTGCTAGAAACATTTGTTAACATTCTGGTCATGGGTGTCACTGTGTCTTCATTGCTACTATTACCTGTGCTGCTTAGATTAAAAATAGGAATACAACCCAAGATGTAATCACATGATTATTTCACTGTGCAAACACATCTTTAGGTACCTTTATATTAAGAATTTCATACTATATATAATTTACCATGAACTCAGCTAGAAGGGAATTAAATATGACCGTTGAAACTAAAATATTTCTTTAATAACTTACTATGGCAGATATCACTATTTCTAGCATGCTTAACTAAAGCAGGTCTATTCTGGAGCACCGCATTCTCTTTCTGAAAGTCATCCAGAAACAGTGGATGGCATCATGTTCTAGCACAGCTTGGTGTTACAAGACTCATCTCCTTTAGTATCTACAATATCGTAGATGAAACATCATCAAAACAACATGAAACTGCTTTATCAGAGACACAAGGCTAAGATGTCTTAGAATTTTTGTCTGCTCACTTTGGAGAGAAGACATGACAGCTTAAAAAAAGAAGAAAAACAGCATTTGGCCTTAAGAAATTTGACAGCAGGTTCTTAGACAGAAAGATTTTATCTAGGTCTCAAAAAAACCCAGGAGCAAGTACCACACAGGTAAGAGACACTGTTGTGTGACCTGCATTAAAGGACCAGCACTGGAAAGTGAGGATACAAGGATGAAGAACAGCAGAGACCAGCAAGGGCACAGTGCACCAGGATCAAGGAATAAAAATATATACGTAGGGCTTACGGCCTGTCCCAAAGAACTTTAAAAACAGGTTTTAAAGAAGAAAGAGAAAGTCACATATTCTTTGGGAACCTGCTGAGCTACGTAAGTAATGCTGTGTTTCCAAACAAGGCTTTTTGGATGAGATTGAAATAGTTCTGTCAGCAATCTGGAAGCAAGGCAGCCCCTAGAAATTGTACCAGATATCCAGGACCACAAATCACTGTATAGTCCAAACTTTTTTTTTTCTTTTTAAAAAGATAATACTAAATGACTACTGATCAAAACCCCTCCGATGGAGACAAAGATGCCCGAGTTGCTGCTATCAATGGTTGTACTAAAAGTCTGCCAAGAAACTGTTAGAAGCTACCTCTTTGTGTTTCCAGTGCAAATCACCCATTAAAGACACCTTGAAATGTCAGCCAGTGTGCTGTCAACAGAAAGACTAAATGCTAAAGAGAGAATCCCACAAGCAAATAGGAGGAAAAGTACAAGACAAAAGAAAAAAGAAAGAAGTAAAACCAATTTGTATCTGCAAAAATATCATCAGTATTAAGTGAAAAGCTGCACCAAGTTCTAGTCCACCATTGCAGTATCACAGATTTTGATTCGGAAATCTTTTGAAAATTTTACTTCTGCAAGTCTTTTGAAACAGAAACCACAGATGGAAAAAGAAGGAAGTACATGCATGTGTTTCGATTCAACTGTAAGTAGAGCTCAGTACTGTGGTCATTCTGGACTGGGGTACTCGATAAAAACAGAAGGTATCAAAAGAGAAAAAAAATTCTCTCATTATTTGTTAACTTTAACTAAAAAGTCTTATTAGTTATAATAAAAACTCCATTATTCAAAAGTTATATGTTACTAAGAATTCAGAATCACTGTGTAGAGCTCAAGTTCTTACCACTTTCAGAAACTAGAAGTGATTTTATTACTCAAAATAATCTTTGAATTGGAACACTTCAAAACAAAAATTATAACTTGTACGGAAGAACCAGGAGGTTCCGAAATGGCTATTTAGCAAAGAGCTGAAGTGTAGTTTATTCATTTAGACCTAACCTGCTTAACTTGTAAGTTGTAAGCTGGTCAATAAAGACATGCTATATTCTTTGCACAATACCCATCTGACAAAGTACTAAAACTCCTTGATCATTAGAAACAAGTGTTCACCTGAAAAGGTAAAAAGTTACTTCTTCTGTAAGTTTTCCCTTCGTCTAATATTTCCAGCTCTTTATGACTCCATAAAGCAACTCCCCAATTTTAGGGGGTTATTTCTACCTCTACTGCACTAAGGTTCCAAATCTTCTTGAACTTCCTGAATCTGTTTTGCCGAGCTAACATAAAGCAGGTGATCAGACAACAGATGACACCCCCCCACACCCAAAGCCTCCACTAATTTTTCTGAATCTTCTTACAGTGAATTTCTTTGGATTTTTATTTGGTTTTCATATGATAGATAAACAGAAGGAAGTGAAGTCATCACACTTGATAAGGAAATATTTAGATGTATTTCAATCCAAAAAGTTAAACTGCATCATACTGCAACAGGAAGAAATTTTAGACTTCAACAATTACATGGAAAGGCAATGGTATTGTTTATGTCATCATCATCCCACCCATATTCATTTCTTTATCTTTAAGATATTCAGCATATCTGTTAGCATGAATCAATAAACTTTATTAAAAATTATCATAGAGAAACAAAAATATCTATTCCTTGGCAAACAATATCCAGAGATCAATGAATTTCATTCATGTTATATGGGACACACCAGCTACTTTTTAAGCATGAAGGTATTTCCCCTAAATGGATGTATCACTTTTGGTGATCTAATTTTAAATGTCTTAAAGATAGAGCATTAGACTCCTAGATTATTAACTTCTAGAACATACAGAATTAGACTATTAGATTTACTTCTAGCTCCCTCCTATTTTTGAATAGATTTTTAAAATTAAACGTAAATAGCTCAGTTTCTTATTGCCACAACTTACCTTGAAATCTGATTAATAAATGGTATCAGTTCTGCAGGATCATAAGCACGAGCAAAGGCCCAGCACACATAGCACGCTGCATCTCTCACGTTGGAACCCACGCTGCATGCCCCCCTCTTCTCGTCATATGTCAGCGCTTTCAAAATGACAGGCACAACTGTGAAATTAAAAAAATGTACAAGAGCAACAATTAGACCAATACAGTGAACCAAAAAAAAAAAAAAAGGTGTAAGATCATTCAGTGATCATTAGAGAAAGGACACAGGGTGGAGTTGTGTGTTCTGAAAGAAAGCATGGCTCTTAGTAAGTGCTAATTTTGAAGTTGATTAGAAAAAAGTTGTTTTTTATGATACGCTATTTTGTTTCTTTGTCAATAGCAGTTTATTTTTTTATTTCCTTCATATATAATTCAATGAGGATTAAAGCAAGTGGGTTACAGAAGAAGTAACACTGATATTTATTACTCGCTGAGACATGTTCGGAAGTCAAAGTAATTGTAAAACAAAAAATTTTAAAGTGTCCACTTTTTAAAGTACTGGACTTTAAATATTACAGCAGCATCTATCACTAGAAAAAAGTATTTCTGAAGAAAGACAGTATTGTAACTACCATAAAATAAAGGAATGAGTATCCATCTATTAGCAGGCGATATTTATCATGGTAGAAGTCCTAATATGACAAATTCTTCTTAATTAACAATGCTTGTGAATCATCAATATACCAATCTTGAAAGGGACTTAAGTACAGTTTTTGCATAATCTTAAAGCAAAGTGACATGTTCGACATCATCCTTGCATTAAGCAAGTAAGCTGTGATATTTTATTCCCCGCAGAGCTGTTATTTTGAGTGACTTCAATGCAGTGTTTTAAGCTTGAACCTATCTGCACTGCCAAACTGCACAGGTCATAAAGACAGAATATGTATAAAACTGCTGTGTAACCTAGAAATGCAAACAGGTGGGCTTTACTCTCATTTCTGCTTAGACATCCAAAACAACGTGACGACTGCATGCCTCTTCACCAGCACAGAATGATTTAATGCAAGACCGGAAGCCTTTGATGAAGGAAAACAGTATTCCAAAAAAAAGGTCAATGTCTTTTTCTTTCTCCTCTTAGTCACATTAATTACATTGATTTCACCAACATACCAGTTTTTGTTAGACAGTGAGAAAATAAGATGGAGATATTTGCATCCTCAACGGCAATATGGAATCATGCACTGCACTTCAGAATGTACTCAAAATGCACTTAAATTGATTCTAATGCCCAAATTTGCAAATGCTGTCTCATGAGGCCCAGTAGAGAGATTCAAGACAAGAGCAGCTGACAGCCATCCTGGGAAGGTGCCTTTTATTTCTCAATCACACTTACTTGGGATGGTGAGGACAGGGAGGGACACTAAAACACAGGACAACATTTAACAGAAACTAAACTATACCCCAGACTATTAATGTTACACTTGATGAATCCAACTAGTTACAGGAATTGGAAAAAATCAGCAGCAGGAATATACTGTGTTTCTGAATGGAAATAATATAGTGTGTATTCTTGAGAATATGCTGTTTCTCCGTACTGACCTAGAAAATCATCCTCGACTGACAGTGTCAGGATCTCTTTAATGACATACATACCCCTGAACACAGAGCTTCATTCTGGGAGAAGAGTGGCATCACCTGTGTCCATGAAACAAATCACGATCCAAAAATCAACTGATAAAATAGCTATCTTATCCAAGGCAGCTCTTAGAAATCCATGTATCAAGCATTGTTTCCCGGTTTAATGGACAGCCCAAGAAACTTTGGACTATGTTTTAGCCAATAACAGCCTAAAAGCCACAGACATCAATATAACGTCTCTGTGCCACATTTTGTTGAGGGAGCTCCAGAGGAAATGCTGTTGCACAGAGCGTAAGCCCAGGCTGAGCACTGGAACCACATGATACCGTTGCAGTGGGACAGCAAGAGAATACAGCTACTCTTCTTTTTTTTTTTTTTAATCATATTGGGGAAAACAGAGAAAGAAGAGTAGTAAAACAGACGTAAAGGCAAATGAAGTTCCCAGAGTCATATCACAAATGACTTGTAACAGAGGTACTGTTACAAGGAAGTGACAAAAATAAGCTTGGGAAAACAAGTAGATTAAGAATTTCACTTTCATGCTTATATCCCCATCAAAACTGCAGAAGTCAATAACGTTTTTCTATAGATAGGAGAACTTCCAAAAACTTAAAGAAGAATTCTCTTACACAGTTCTAGTAATATACTGCCACAGTTTAAGAAATACTGTATGTATGCAAGGCTCCCCGGAGGGCTTTCTTTTGGTATCTGTAAATCCAGATACATAATTTGAATACATCTCTCTCTAGATGGCATGTTTTTAATAAATAAATAATGTCTGTAAAAACAACAGCCTCTAGAAAAAAAAGAAACAATTTCTCTCTCGATTTTCTTTCTTGTATCAAATTTATCAAATGTATCTTTTTTCCTTAGAAAACACTTGTCAAAAGGTGATCCCACTGAACAAGAAATGGGATCACTGAACTGTATTTCATTAGCAAACTGTGCCTGGATATACTTGAGTGGATATAATCACAAAATAATTAAACTTCAATGTACAGTTCATCACTGTATGCCTGCTACTTTAAACAAAAAAATATGCACCACAACTGGAGAAGGGAGGTGTTAAAATGCCATTTAAATTCATTTTAACCTACTAAAGAAAATAAAGCACTAATCAGGGGGATGGACAAGATATGAGTATTAGGAGCACAAACTCTACATGGGAAAAAAAGCAATTCCCATTCAAGAACAATGACATAGCAAAGATGGATGGATATTTGGGCACTTCCCAGTTCCAAAGGAAACTGCAATAAAAATCTTTAAAAATGTTGACTAGCTTGTTTTGAAAAATGCTGCATCAACTGATGAAAAAAAATTGAATTAGCTGGTTCTACAGGACCACTAAAACAGATGCCAAAGGCAATTTTGCAAAGCTGCAAAGCTGCTGCAAATTTCCTTCAGCACAGGGTGATTACTCCAGCTACTTTAGACAGCTGTGAGTGCGCTCTCATCTCTCTGTGCACTGAAGGACGTGTGGAAGAAGGACCCACAAGCAGCTCCTCACATTGGTATCATCTGTATGAACGAAAAAACACGAGTTTTTTCAATTCAGGGCATTAATTTCCTAAATAGTGGGGTCAACCAAATGGCACCTGGCTTATTAGGGTCAAAGACAGAGGTGATGCTGCCAGGGGTCTGTAACAGCAGAAAGTAAGGAAATGCCAGGAACAGCAGTGCTATTACTCTGAGCAGCTCTTCCCCATTATCTCACAGCAGGCCTTTGGACTCACACCTCTTTGATGTCCTGTGTCTGGGACTCAAACCATTGCTGCTGCAAGAGAAACAACGTACCTGCAAGTCTGGAGAGCAAAGGCGGATAATGCAAAGGAAGGATACGAAAGTGGACATTTAAAATGTGGGAAAAAACAAGGAAAACAAGGTAAAGTATGCAGCAGCAAGGGCTAAGTAAATACAAATATTATTACAACAACAACAACAAGGATAACACTGATCTAGGGGTCACCTGTTAAAGTTTTCATGCTATCACTGGTAGAATATTTAGTGGTGAACTGTGGACTATTGGAAATACATTAAAATTGCCCCTTTCAAACATTTGTGTGTTTGAAAAAGGGGGTCCAGCATTACATTTCCTGTTGGTATTTAAAAGTCACAAAAACCCCAAAAGAAACACTACCAAAAATTCCAGGTTTCACTTCATTCTTTACCCTAGAGTTCTTCAAACACAATGCAGGTTTTTTTCTGCTATGGCTTCCTGCACTGTCAGAAAAGCCTGGCTGAAGGAAGTTGTGAAGGAGCAGTACAGGCAAAACCATCTGTAGTGTTTAGTCCACTGTAACTGAAATATCTTATAAAAGACCTTACTAATCCATAGTTTGGCAGACTCCATGTTTGTGTTCTCATGCACACAACTTCTCATCTTCGGTCTAAACACAAAATACTAAATTTAATTTTAATTAACATTTTTCTCTGATTTAAACTGTTCACATTCATACTCTTCCAGAGCTTTGTTTGATACACAAAGCAGCAATGAAATTCAAAGCTTTGTAGTCAGCTTCTGATTTTGTATCTGTTATCCAATTTCAATTTACCAATCCAGCCACCTCTCAAATATTCAGCATGGTCACACTGTTGTACTGTTCTGCTCTACATTATTTCAATTTTTCAGATTTAAGATCATGTTGGATTCATACCTAAAATCAATTTCTCATAAAAAGACAAATAAAAAAGCTTTAGAAAAAAGACTTCCAGAAGAAACTTATTTTAGTTTGGAAGAATGGAGACAAATTTTTACTTTTGAAATTATGAACATGCCTTTTTTATTTAAAAGTAGGGGGCTGGGAGATACAACAAGGAGCAGACCTGAATTGTTGCTTAACTTAAAAAGTTACCATTTCTTTCATAGATCTACATTAAAATTTTGCCATTAAAACCAGAGGATAGGGAGTGTCCACTCTCAACCTAATTATTAAAACAATATCCACCTGTTTAGGTCTGTGAACGCTCAAGAAAATACAGTCACCTTTACCTGTAGCCTAGAGGTATTAATAAGCACCTGCTACACTCCACCCTGCCTTACCTAACAACATAACTGCAGGTTGCAACACAGCTCTTTGCTCAAGCTTTGTGAAAATAAAGAAACAACTTCTGGCTTCAAAGCATTACAAACAACAAATTTTTTTCTCATACTGGAGACAGGTTGCACAGATATTTTGCTTTTTAAACACAGATTTCATACAATCAGATGCTTAGCACCTTTCAGGTGCAGGTGATAAACACTAAACAAGTAGTTAAGCAAACTTACGGAAGATGTCATATAATGAAAGGTCACATATACGTAAGTAAAAAATGCCTCATACTATTCCTTTAAAAAAGTGCCTTTAGAATCATACTGTACACAAACCTAGACTATAACACATGCCATCAGGAGCCCTACGTTACTTTAACTTCAGATTGTCATTTTTATTTCTTTATTGCAATGTTTATCATATAAAACATAAAAATACAGCAATTAAACAAACAAACAACAACAAAAACCTGTTCCTTAGCCTTAGGTCTTGTCTCCACAAGAAAATTGCAAA